GTCGAAATAAAACTCTCCCACATGTGGAACATTTTTGCTCTTGATCACTGAGTTTTCTCCCTGGTTTTCAAAATGCCCAAAAAGTTCTGAGCTGTCACCTTTGTAGTTAAGACCTGCGAGGTACGCTTGAAAATGCAACATATCTGAAATGAGCTGCATAAAAACTGCCTTTGTGTCTGTGTGTGGGAATGTTTGTGTACACTTAGAAAATAAATGTCGAAGAGGTCAAGCTGATTTCCCTCATATTTTGGGGAAAGAATCACTCTGAGCTGAAAAATTGTATGCCAAGTCTCTGCCTGAAGCAAATTTTTACGATCAAATTAAAAACCTTTGAGACTAAGAGTTTATAATGGAAATACTAACACAGCCTTAACCATGGCAGCACCAGCAGGCACTGCAATAATATTAGGAAAGCTCTGCCTGCCCACAATCTAAACTAAATAAAAAAGATGCCATTTTCTAACATATACCCCAGGCTAGCAAATAACAATGATTTAATGTACTTGCCCTGTGGTAATATAGTAGCCCTGCAAACCTCTGAGCCAATTTTTCTTTTCTTTTTCTTTTTTTTTTTTTTTCTTCTTTTTAAACATATATGCCCCATAGGGAAAGGATTGCAATTTAGTTCTTATTTGTGGATATATCGCTTTCATTCCAACAATTCTTGAAAGCCTTCCTGCTGCCACACGCTACTGTGTTCACCCGACTGAATAAAGACCCACCAGGCTTTTTTTCCAGGAGTTTATTCACAGGTTTGGCTTTGCTTATTGTAGTATGCACCACATTTAAATTAGATGAGGGCTACTGTAAAGCAATAACATTGTCAATGACTGGAATCTCACTTTCCCCTCTAACAGTCTGAAGCAAATTAATGTATTGGTTGTTCATTAACAAGTAAACAGTTTCTGCTACAATGTCAAGGAAAAAGAATGTGTTCATTAATATGAACAATCTTCATCTACAAAGATGATTTACACAATGCATGTCATGAGATAGCTTTCCCCTAACTAGTACACTACCAAACTGAAAAGCTGATTCTTAGGACTTTCTTGAAATTACAATATTGTTTGTTTACCAATAAGAAAGACAGTCTCAGTCACCTATGCCACCATTGTAAGCTCTATAGTAAGTACTTAAAAAAAGAGAGATTTCTGGAATCACTTGTGGAATTAATAAAATTGATAACTACAGACTTACACTGCATCAATGATACATATTATTCCTGTGGTAAGTTAAGCTAAAAATAAGATTAATTTGGTTATAGAAATTCCTTAAACAACAACACTTAAATTATCTCAAACTTGAAATTTTTTCAAGAATTTTCTGAAAAAATCAGCAAACACTGGCTAAAAAAGCAAAGCAGTTTGGATACACCAATGTAATCAGCATGCCTAGTGCTTTTCTGTTAACCCTCTGAGTAGAACCATAGTATTCTGGATTTTTTTGTACATTAATGCTATGAAAATTGTTAACTTATGGAAATACTGATTTATATGTCATGACTCAATAAATCATGTTCTAAATATATTTGGGCTAGGCACCTCATCTAGCGAGCGATTCATCCATCCTAGAATTTTAATTATCCACTAGAGAAGCCAGTCTCTAGCAACTGTAAGGGAAGCTTAGATGATTGCCCGAGATTAGATGCTTTACTCTTAGACGGATACGTCAAGATGAGACAACGCCCAACTCAGTACCGTTTAACTAATCCTGTGCTATCACCTATCAGTACTACATTTTCACATCAAAGTTTGCTTACTGCATGTAAGCTTACTAGAATATTGCACTTAGATTGGAGTCCACGTTACCACCCCTTACATTTCATTGAGAGGAATTAATTAAGCTGGAAGTGACCCTGTTCTACTCTCTTGTTAATACTAAGATCAGATGGATAGGCGTCTCCAGAGACCAAATATTAGATGACCTGAATCACCCTTTGGAAGTGCCCCTCTCCATCTCCTTGGTGATAGACGGTGCCTACCACGACTGCCATCCATCTCAGCTAACTGCATAGGCTTGGTGGGCGGCAGTTGGCCTTGTACGTGTAATAAGCATTAAAAAAAAAATAATTGTTGTCACATTTAGCGCCAATACGACACAATGGTTCAAAAGGGAAATGAAGAAAGAAGTCAGGAGGACTGTTATGTATTACAGCAAAATGACCATAGTGCGCTATGTGCTCTCCCAGATTATCACATTAGAAATAGTCTGTTATCTTTGATTTCTTCTTTTCACTGGTGTTTCAAGTATTTTTAGGGCCACGTATTCTGTCTTCACTTACCCCCAGGAATTCAGAGGTTAGACAAGAAAAGGGGCAGTTGCTGCCAAACAAGCCCGAACCATTATTATTTCCATGAAACTATACATATATATACATATATATGGTTATATTTAAAAATATATATGGATATATTTAAAACCATCATGAAAGCCACTTTTAAAAGAGTTTAAATATTCAGATACCTTTCCCTGAAGCCTAAAAAAGAGGCTATCAGCAATTTGAAATCCAATCTCTCACAGATCCAAAAATAACTTAAAATAAATATTTTTATAGCTATGTTCATAAAACATGAACCAAAGATCAGAAACATATAAGATGCTGGGGATGAGTAGGGATTTCAGGATCTAGGATTATTTTTACATACATTTTAAGTAGTACAAGATGGTGTAAGATGAAGGAGCCAAACATCTTATTTTAATGATAACCTTGTATTCCAAAGCAAAGCTAAGCAAAGGTGATAGGAAAATCCCTGATGGGTTTTTGAATAACATTTCTCATGCATTAGGTGAAGCATTTTTTATTTTTTTTCCTCCTGACTCCCCTTTCTAGTTAAGAAGAATGAACATTGGCCTTTGCAAAATTTTCACAATAGTCAAGAAGCATGTGGTATTAATGGACACCTGTTTATTACTAAATGTATGCCTTGCATTTACATGGTTGAGTTGTATCTCTTCAAAAGGGAAGGCTGTGATATAAATGTGGGAAGGGCAATGATGGAAAAACATGTGTCAGATCCAGACCTACTCTAAACTGACGCAGGTAACTGGCAAGGGGAGATTTACCCAGGCTGGGGGTTTGGTCTTATGGAAAAATAATCCCTGTCCTATCCAAATGTTATCAAACTACAACCATTAATATCACAGCAGCAATGGCTGTGCCTTATCTACCAAGGGTTGGATAGATACGCAATGACTCTAGGGTTGGATGGGCATGGTCAAAGATCTGCTATGGACACAGCCCTTTCCAAAAACTTAAAATCTGAAAACTTATGTGCGGCAGCTCCTTTATCCCTTCACCTCTTGCCCCCGTGGAGTTCTCCAGCAAGATAGCTATTTGCTTCACTCGGGTTAAGATGTGGTTACTCAGGCTCCAGACAGAGTAACTGAGACCATGCACGAGCCTTCTGTCTGTGGATGCACATTCAGAGATCAGAGATTCAGAGTTTCCTGATGATTTAGGGTGATTTGTTCTACTAAGCTCATAATGTGAAGCTTGGTGTCTGATGTAAGCTTCCACCAACAGTTCCTTCTACAGTCAATGGAGTGAGAGCAATAGGTGAATCAAAGCATGAGTCCTGCCTGAAATGTGTGCCCATGACTGGTGAGATGAACCAAACCTGGAAATGATCATCTCTCTGTATTACCAAGGAATTCTGGAGATCTAGTTCAGACTAAATGTCTCACTTTTAGATTATTAACATTGGGTGAAATTAACTGCATTCTGTATGAAATACATGTACCACTTGTGTGAAGACTCACAAGATGAAATTCCTGTATTTAAAATCTTCAGAGCTTTTAATATATAAATTTTCATGACTGGGAGAAGGAAAGATGCATTTCAAACGATGGAGAAATGAAATTATTTCAACGTTTCTTGAAATACGGTTCAACTGATACTTCCAACTAGAAATGCAAAAGAGCATTACACTAACTCCAACAAGCTGCACAACTGCTCATAGGGACAGTTCCATGAGCAAACACAACTCAGAATGGAAGTGGCACTGTGGGCAACTTGCCCTGTTCCTCCAAAACTTATTTATACTTCCCAGCGAGATAGAAAAGTCTGCATACCTTTTGGGGCAGCATATTGATATTTCTGGTGGTATGACATGAAAGAAAGAGAAAGGACGAGAGGAAAAGAGCGGGGAGAAAGAGAGAGGAAACGGCACTTATGTGACTTTTCAAAAACACTGGGAAAACATTTTAACTTTAGAGGGGAAAACTTCAATTTTATATGAGTAGTAACAGAAAGTATAAATTTCATAGTGGTTTTTACTTTAGAATAGGATTTTGGAAGTTGCATTTTTCATTCAAGTGAAATTCTGAGTGATTCTATGATAATTTTTCTTTCAAATTATCATATCTGAAGCAAGTCTACAAAATTGTAATATTTCTGTGGAAGCTAACTTTATGATAACAGTTAGATAAAATGCTATAATGCTGTGTTGAGGTTTTAACAAACCAGAAATATGTATACTCTGTGTAAATGCCCATTTTATTAAATATTACAAATAGAAATGGTGAATAATTTTTAGTTTCTCCATTCTAAGACAAAACTTTCGCTAATTCAGTTTAGGCTTTACATATACATTAAATGACTTGTATTTTCGCCAATTTAGAAGTACTCTAGCTATTTTAAGGGTAATTCTCATCAATGTTAATCTTTAAAAACGTCTCTCCCGGAATAACCAGGTCATGCTGAGAGGATGCCTGTACCTTGCTGAATGTGAGGCAAAGGAACCAGGAACTTCTCAACTGGATCATTACATACTATTACATGACAGAACGTGTCCTCAAGCCATTTCTCAAGACTCTGCATTGTCATTAGCAGCAAACGATGTGGAAGCAACCTTTTATGGCTATCATCATGTCATCTTCTGTAAACTAGGAGGCTGCCCTAAACTGAATTTCACATTTAGCCTGTATAATATGCTCCAACAACAGTCACTCCCTGTGGAAGTATGATGCAGGTTTAGAACGAGGTGCTGTAGAAGATACTGTTTGTTTAATTTTATTTTCATTTTTAAAGCCTACATTTGTAACCCCTAAGCAATAGTGCGTCTGATAGTGTTTTGGCCAGAAACAGGCAAGGAACTTTAGGGTAGTATAAAAGATATGTGCGTATAAAAGCAAAAAAGCCAGAATAAAGCCCTAATGTGGGTTGTCAAGATTTAAGATGATCGTTTACTCAGAGGGTTAACATGTGCTAAAATTACATACTGCAGTTCCTAGCTTCACTGATGAAAACATTCACTGCTTCTATCTTTAAATAAAAAAGCAAAATAGCCTTAACCCTTTGAGGATCGTATTAGCAGCAAGTTGCAATCTAAACAGAGAACAAGTATTTCAATCAATTAGGAAATTATTCTTACAAAGATTCTGTGAGCACCCTTTTGTGTTCCACCATCCCAGCGTTTACTGCTGGATAGATCAGCTGTAATCACTTCACACAGGTCTGAAGGATTTTCAGGGTCTCAAAGGGTTAAAGCCAAGACTTTTGAGTAAAAGTGTTTTATTAAAAGGGTGAGTTAGGTGAGCGAACAGTCTCGGATGAACTTGGTGAATAGTCTTCCGATTCGGAGTTGAGTTCAGGTGGAGCTTGCTGTGCCTTATAACGTCCCCTCACATCCTGGTTGCGTCTTCGTCGGAAAACCTGCCTCTCCTTATCAAGAGCGGTGGTCTGGCAGGGGCATAAAATAAGAATAAATGAAATTAGGCTGTGTGTGAAATGCAAAGCTAATGAAAACCATGAGTTTTTATGTGGCCTGCAAATACCAGGGATTATAAATGTTCAGACCAAATTAAACCTGTTCTGTCTCAGTCGGGTCTGAAAGGTTGAGCCCACAACATAGCTAAATGCTTTTAGAAGTGCATTTCCCAAACCTTAAGAGGTAGCGTGACATCATCAAGCAGATACAGTACCATATATATGGATGCCATATGTTCTACTTCTGGATGCTATTAATTTCATCCTTTAATAGATTCAAATTTCAAGCCAAATACCAACTGACCTTCCCCCCACCCTTCTCAAAGTATAAATCTGTTTCTACAGGCAAGGCAGAGATGTACGCTTGTCTTTGATTTGACCTAATGAAGGCTGATACACACTCACCCATGTTCAAGTCAGTGCAATCGGCTAACAAAGATGGATTGTGATGAAGTTGTCAGACAAGAGAGAAAAACAAACACCGAAGGGAGCTAGCCCAGCTCTTTGACACCTCCTCATGCCGCTCAATGGATGTTCTTAGGGAGAATGCTGAAGAGCTCTGACGGAAAGACCCGTTTAGCCTGAGCACCCTGTCTCCTCCTGTTAACCAAGGTCCATCGAATTAAATACTCCACTAATTTTATCTAGGTCTATCTAGAAAAGGGGAAGAAGAGTGTTTACTTGATGGGCTTTATATTTTGATCAGTTTCTGTCACTGTTGAGAACGCAGGTCTTAATAATACGGCTGTGACTTCTAGCCACATCCTTTCTGCTGCTTTGTCTGGCACATTTACGAGAAGAAACTGCAATCCAGGTAAGGGCAGCCCAAATCTGGCCAACAATTTCAAGCACGGGACTGGGTTTCGCTGTTTTCTTCATTACCGCGTATTAGACTGCAGTCCCCGAAATCGCTGTAAAATTACAACTTCAACAGGATGGCCTTGATTCAGCAAGAGCACTTTGACACACCGTTAACTGCCTTCTGAAGGAGGGCTGCCTTCTTAAGACACAGCCCGTGGTTTTTTTGGAAAAAGCAAAACGGGAAAAGGCAGGAGGCTAGTAAGATGACATACTAAATGCAAACTAATATCTGATCATGGCACCGGAGACAAAGATAACTTTGAGAACTGAACAAGTTTAACTGCTAAGGCTTGTAAAATAGTATGAAAATCTCCATTTAAGAGAATGCAGCCAAAAGGTTATTCTGCTTCAAAGGATTTATTGTTTTCTCTTGAGATATACATGACTGATTTCTCTAAAAAATTTACCAGTTATAGTGTGAGCCTCATAGGAGAGCAGGGATGTATTTATAGCCAACATATTTTTGAGAACAAAATGAAAACTAAATCCATCATACCGGTGCAGAATAGCATTATAGCAATCCCTGCTCTAAAATAATGCAATCAGCATTCAATAATGATGTAATAGAGACAGAAAGATGGACAAGAGTACAGAGCTACTATATAGCAAATGGATCTAGTTAGGCTAAATTGCTGAACTATTGTTTTTGTGTCTAGAACCTACATAGCACTACCTTAAAGGGGTAAAAAATTAGCGTCGATAAGTACATCTCTGTATTTTAAATAATAATTGCTACAAAATCCAGTACTTCTCATCTGTTAAGAATTTCTTTGTTTACTGCTAATCTTTTGGTTAAGCGCTCTAATTAGTATTTTCAATGCCCTCTACGTTTCTTAGCCTTGAACCAATTCAGTTTTTGATTATTTTTTAATGTGAAACAGAATACCTCGATCTTTTACACACGGTGAATATACTGCAAACGGTATGTAATTCTGTGTGAAAATTGAAAAGAATGGTATATATTACCATTCTATAAAATACAGATTTCCATTTAAAATATTTTTTATGCTTACGGGAAATAAGTATTTATTTAAAGTTTAAGCCACATCACATCATCCTGTGATAACAGATACTCTCCTCTGAGAAAATCCAACATTTCTGGCCAAATAAACAAAAATACATGTATTAAATTCAAAATTTATTTTTTAAATCTGCTACATGAGAATGGTAAATATATGTGTAAAAACTAAAAGCATTTAAAATTAGATAAGTTACACGGAAGTGAATACTCTTGCATAAAAGATTATTTTTGAAATTTAACCTAGGATATTGCTTTTTTAAAAGGACAAAAATATGAAATTGCAAAACTAGCTAGGTAACTAAATATCAGGACATTGTTTTAAAGATGTCTTTAAAAAATAAACCCCAAGATACTGCTTTTCTACTATTTTGGGGGAAGCTTTGGGGGGTTTTGTTTAAATATATTTGTTTAAATACACATAAAGGCACTTCCTGCCTTGTCAATCAAAAACGTTAAGCAAAAAAACCCGATCATCCCACCTAATCCAGCACCTTATGCCGTAGTTTGTAGGACTATTGTAGGAATATTTTGTAGGAATTTTTTTTGTAGGAATATGTTTGTAGGAATATTTCTGGCTTCCTAACCCTTCAGAAACTTCCTGAGATATTTCGAGACTGTTTTTCTTTGCATGTTTAACCCAATTCTCCCTTGAATTTGATCTAATTGGTCTTTATAAAGGCATGCTTGTACACTCAGGGGCATTATTATGCTTAGTCTCCTGGGCTGCGAGACATTTAGAGCCTTTCTCACCCAAAGAGCTTATCGAATAAAAATGTATAAAGTCACAGAGAGCTAAAGAAGGGAGTATTTATCTAGTGAAAGTAAAAATACACAGACCATATTCTAACATTTAGTGTTTCATACGTCAGAACCACAAAATAGGTCAGTTCTGGCCACAGACAGAGCACTCACAAGCCCTACAAGAACTTGCAAGACCCGACTTATTCTGCCTGATGTTACGATGAGGTTTTGCACCTCCAGTGTCTATTACGCTGCCAGGCAGAACGGCCACTCTGCGTTCTGCACAAATGCTAGTTTTCATTGAATGAGGTCACGATTCTTTTTTACCGGCAAATAATTGCAAAATATGATAGATTAATGCTTTGGAACGCTGCGGAGATGGCAAGATACATTTGAGTAATGACTGCATGTGTTTCCTAAGTGCAATTTTCACCTACTGTACCTTCTTGTGCACATGGGCATATTCAAAAAATCAGCTTTTTCATTATTATTACTGTTTGTATAACAAAGGCCTCTTATACGCATTGCCTTGGTTTAATAGATTTATTATTTCATCTACTATTCAGCTGGGTGGTTCACCGATGCATGAACCAGTCCATTATGGATTTCCAGGGCATTTCTACTTTAAGCTACTCTTTCAATAAATAATAAGAGGATCTGAAGTGCACTTATGCTTCACAGGGCTGCTAATCCCAGATTTTCATTATCACATTTTGACTTTTTTTTTTTCCCAGCTTGAGGTGAGAGAGTGAGAACTTTGAGCACTATATGATAGTAATGGCAACTGAAATGTAAGGGTAGTGTTCTTATTTAAGATATGCGGCTGTCCTCTTACAATCCATCTGAGGAAATGTAGAGCTTCTTATCCAGCAGCAGATAAGTGGATTGCCTCTAATAGTTTGGTGCTGATGGGTCTGAAGCACTTCATTAAGCACTAATGTATTTTGCATCAGCATTTAGTAATCCTGACACCCGGCACCAAATGGTTAACAAGCCGGTTTTGGAAATGCATTTAATTTGAAGTAATGGAGCATTATTTTAAAATCATTGTTTCTGTCACCTATATACTAAGGTGTAGTTAGCGTTTTTCCAGGATTTTGCCACAGGGAATGTCTCCTTCCTGATTCCTATGTCTTGATGTCGCAGGACTCCTAAGCCATGCAAATTCTTTTTTCTTGGAAAACATTGAACTCTGTGTTTATGAACAGACATTCAAAATCTACAGCTGCTTTGATATATATGTTGGATTTGCAGTGGGAAGCACCTTATTTTAGCTGCGGGGTGATATTTTCTGTCAGGTCAGTAATTATTGGATTGAAGTAACTGCATTTTATGAATGTGAGCAGTGACTGTTTTTCTTTTCACTTGTCTTAATTTAGTGCTGGCCACCAAATATAGATATATATTCCTTTCATTAATAAAAGAACATTATTGTGCATTTTGCCTCTTAGCCCATCCATTATTCATACCAGCCAGGAGACTGAACTGGGATGCAGCTGTTCACGCATTAATCTAAGAAACCCTTCCCTTCACTCGCTTTCATTCTGCAGGAGCATATTTGCTATTTGTTTGTGGGTTTCGTGATGCTTTGTTTAGTGTGTGGAATTACACGGCCATATGTATTGAAACAGTGACATTTTTCTTTCAGCACGTTCTTTTATATACACGGATGTGTATGCCCGTATTTAAATGATCACACCTAGGTAATTTCATCCTGTTTCCTTCAGCTTCTGGCTAGTGACCTCAATACGTTGAGATATGTCACGGCAGGTTTCCCTACTGTAAAAATGAGCATTAAACTATGCTCGTGGCACGAGCCAGGCAGCCCTTCAGTCTGACCTTTTTTGTTTTTTTCCATGGGTTTCTCAGGTTATATATATATATATGTAAATATATATATATGTGTGTGATTGATACATGATTCAAGACACTTTTTGGACAGTACTTCAAACTTAGCAATGCACCTCAGTCCAGGAGTGAAAGACACACGTTATTTTTAGCCCCTCAGGCACAAGCTATAACTAAGTCAAGTTACACGGTGATTTGGAGACGTGCAAATAACCACATCGAGGGGACAAATTAATCGAGTGGATTTGAACCTAGACCTCCAAATACAAAAGGCCAGTCCTTTAGCGCACCATGTAACTTTGGGCATGAAATTTAGCTAAAATGAAAGTAAAAAAGAAAGAAAACCAAATCAATTTGATGTATGCTTTGTATTGTATTGGTGAGTGAATACAAAGACAAGTATTCTACACGTATAACTGCTGAATTCATATTGCTATATTTAAGATTGTGTTTACTCTTTGACATCCCCCCTTTTTAAAGAAGCGATTCCTCAGCTGGTTTCAATTACACGTGGAAGAGACTTAGTGCCAAGTTGTTTGCATGGGTGAATTTTATTTATAGTTTGTAAATCAGTTGTGGTTTTCTTAGTCAAAGAGCAGGAGAAGAGATTTTAAATAAGTTTAGATGTTTGCCTGTTTTTACCAATATTCGAATTACAGAGGGTTTTATGGTATTATAAATGGCACTTTACAGATAGCAAGCCTGATTCCCAACTTCCTCGTCCCACTGTCAAGATGTCTGGCTGTAACTTTTGACTTGAAAGTGTATTGTATCCACTCGGGACAGGTGTAAGTAACTCGACAGATGCTTAGTAATGGGAATTAGGAGCCAAAGGCAGAGGATGGAACTACGGATTTTCAAATGAGCTATTCAGATACTTTTTTAACCGTGACAGTGAGAATTGTATTTTTTAAATCAAATATTTTATGAATTCACTATTGACTGGGCTGATGATTTTGTTAAGCATCCAATGTAACTCACCTCTTTGCTATTGTCATTACATAGATAAGATCATTAATGACTTTCCCATACATTTCCTGGGTTTTATTTTGCTTCTTTAGCTTTTATATAGGGTCTGTGGATATATACAAAATAACACACGCTAACATTTTATACTAATATTCCTATACTAATATTTTCTACTAATATTTTATGTTAGATACACCCACTCTGGTGCTGCCTTGATATTCTGAATCAGCACAGAAAAAGCAGAAAATTCAGCCCATTCGGTCAGTAGCAGATTAAAATAATGTTAAGATTCAAACATTAACCAGAATCAGTGAGGAAATTTGGGGTCAAAGAAAACATTGGTAAGTTATGCAAAGTATTGCCTTCAAAATGTGCTGCCATTAGGAGGAACAGGTAATGCAGCTGAAGGCAGCTATGGACAGGATACTGCAACATTTGGGGTTCAAGGTAAGGCTTGAAATACTCTTAACATTCTGAGTTAGTTACAAGAAAGCCAAAAAACTGGAGTTACTCAAACTGTTAAAAGCCTCAGCTAAGTACATATTAAAGAAAAGCTCCTTATAAGACATTAAATCTATCAGTTATGATATTTCTGAAGGATAAGGCAGGTGCCATTTGGATTTTTTTGCGGTCACTGTTGCTAAGTTCTGGTAGAAGGGAAATTACAAAAGACAAATGCATTGGGTGTAACCCTTTTACAAAGAGATCTATCAAAGCACGGGCTGACTTTGGACCAAAAAAAAAAAAAAAAGAAATCCCAAACATAGCACCTCTGCTCAGAGATGGGTGATCTCTGCTGTCTTTGACTTGAGTTGCAATTTGGGGTGAATGAAGATGTGATTGAACCATGGGCATTACCCACCTGCATCAAGGTTGGCTTTCCTGGATACCAAGAACAACAGTTTCACCAGCCTTGGGGCAGCGCAGACTTCAGGGCTTTAACTGGGACCTCCAGGTCTCATTCCCTACTAACGCTGCTTTGGCCTTTTCTGCCCTTCTGATCTCAGGCTTGATGTCCTGACGGTATTAGGTGAACTGCTTTTAAAATGTGTAGCAGTTTGGGCTCCAAATGATTTTACTGATTTGGCCTCTGTGTTTTTTCTGTTCCTCGTATGCAAGGAGCACTGTAAGGTTTTCCAGGTTTTATATCTCATACCTGCTATAACAAATATTACTGTACATCAGTTTTGTTGTACTTTAGTATCTCAAAAAAAGTCACTTCACTTTTGCATTTATCTTACTGAAAGTGAATAAAACAGAATGCAGAACGAGTGCTCAGAAAATTAGGACTCTGAGGCACTTTGAATAGGAAAGTCCTTTAGGCAGCGAAAGGAAAAGGTTTTCTGGTTGACTGAAGGAGGAAATAGTGCCATTTAAAAAGATATTTTAGCAGACTGCTAGAAACTAGGGATGAAAATGATCAAAGGAGCAGAGAAGGAATGAGTACTTTAACACTAACAAAGGCAGAATAAGTTTTCCTTGGGACCTGCTTTCATTTTTCGCTGTACTTGTGAATTCAGGTTCATTTTCATGGGCCTGTGCTAAATTAACTGTTTTATAGATGGCAATTGATGAACCTTTTCATATGCTTTGCATTTGCGCTCCTAAAAAGTAAACACTTGCTATATCGAACCGGTTTTATTTAGACTAAAACGTTGGTCACTACAGCAGTTGGCTGTTTCTTGGAGATGAAAGAGGCCCCAACACAGGACAGGGCTTGTTCAGAGGTACCCCCTGTTCGAGCAGTTCCTAATTAAGCATCTACGCCTGCTCTCCCAATTTGCCTTTCCACACTAGGTGCCCTGTTTAGAAAGCACTAATTATAAACATTGTTGTTACTGCCCCCAGCTGGAAAACAGAGCAGTTTATGTATGAATAAGAGAGATTATCGCCCATCTGCTTCAGCCCATTATTCAGGGATATGTCATTTTGTATGCTGATGGCAGCCATTACTACTGCTTTAGTCAGATGGCTTTCTTTTTTTTTTTATAGCGTTTATTTATTTTCCAAGTTGCAGAATTAGAGCCTTCCCCACCACCACCACCTCCACAAAATGCATATGGTTTGTTTCAAAACCTGGGCTATGCAGTTAAACTGAGTCAAGGCCAATCTGCGAGGAGATGCTCGCATTTATCGCAGGCTCCTGTTTCTGGTGGTCTGCTCCCCCTGAAGCTGGGGCTTCAAAAGATCCAAACGTTGCGTATAGCAAATGGAAAGAAAGATTTCTTTTCTTTTTTTTTTTTTTGGTGTAAAATAAAAATAGCAAAGCAGAGAAGGAGTGTAAGCTGATCACGGATAGCAAGTAAACTCTGGGAAGATAAATAAAGCTCATGTGAGCCTTCCCCCTGTTTTACAGAGGAGGTATTAAATTGGCAACTATTTGACAAGTCCTGCTTGACACAAAATGCCATCTTTCCTTCATGAGCAGAGTCCTCTAATACTATCAAACCCACACTCAGCTAAAACTGGACACCCCGGCCCCATTCTGCCCTTCTGCAAAACCAAAAAGCACAGCTGCTGTGCTGCCGTCTCTCGGCTGCGTTACAGGGCTGGAGCCTGCGACGCACGATGCCAAGCGACGAGATAGACCAGGCAGGTTTTGCTATGTCCTCCCAGGTCACCATAGGTTTATAGCCACCAGCGCAAGTGCGATGGACTGGAATTACAGGTACTGCTGCACACTCCAGCGCTTGGAGTCATTCTCAATTCTTGCTAGCCAGCTGATGGATGGCAACTACTTTTTTTTACTTTTTGCCCGAAAAATTGGATTATTTTTGGCTGTTTTTTTTTCTTTTTCTTTCCCCAGAACATCCATATCAGGATCTACTTAACCCTCAGTGTGCGTTTAGGGAACTGTTAGGTTTGATGGAAACCGTGCTGTAGCCCGATCCATGCACTCGGTGAAATGATCCAAGGTGGGAGTTTTACTTGACTGGAAACATGTGCAGTGACCATCTCTGCTGTTTCGCTAATGCGGTTAATTTGCTGAGTTTTTCCAAATACCTCACAGACGAGTTTTTAACGGCTTCAATCACTGCACTGTTAGAAAACACAGGTTTTGCAAGAAACTTATAAAAATTTCTCCAGCTATCAAAATGCAGGTCTTGTGAGTAACAAGAAGGAAAAAAGCCAGCAAATAACCACTTGATGGAAATTCCAGGACTCTGGATTGATTGAGGAGGTGCAGAGGCCTCGTGTGGGCTATCAGACCTGGATCCCTCCTTGCCCCCACTCCAGAATAACCCCCTCCCGCCCAGAGCCCCATTACATCATACAGGTTGAGCCAGCTAACGACAACCCTGGCACAGTTACACAATGAAGAAAAATATATTCAAAAGACTCATGCAATATTTAAAAAAAATAAAAATAAAATCAAAAAAATAGGTATCGGAAGGGTTTTAAAAAGAAAAGAGAAAGAATGCATTGTTAGAAACACAAGCTTACCAGCACATACAATGCATTGTATTTCATTGAACTTGGGAGAGTTTCTACGGACCGCGTTGCGTGAATGCATTGTTCAATCTAAGGTAAGGATTGTGTTTAGTGGGTTTAAAATGACAGTATATAGCTCCACATCTCGCATGGAAAAAGAGGAAAATATATGCTGAGAGCCTGTTGCTGCTCCATGTGTTTCCAAACAGGAGCGCAGGGGAAGCAGATGCCTTAACAAGCAATAGGGAGGGGGAGGGTGCGTACTTCAGCATATCTAGTAGATTTTCTATATACACTGTCTTTTTAACTATAGGGGAAATTGGTACTGAGCATGTGCGATGAAAAGAAAGCTGGCGATGTGGGTGTGAGGGATGGGTGAAGAAAGGGAATGGGGGGGTGTGGCATCTCAATCAAGATTAAAACGAAACTGATAAAGCAGCATATGGACCGGATAACAAATCAAAAAGCATGTTTATCCACTGAAGGAACTGGTTAATGGAGACTGCCAGCACGTTGCCATGGAAACACTGACTGTTGGCGCTGCACCATCTCATACCTTATCCAATACATTCCTGGTTGTTGGTAGTAGTCCAAAGACCCTGATCTCTTGATGGTAAACCCGTGGTCCAGCTGAGCAGAGAGAAACGGGGCAACTCAGTGGATCGACATTAGGCTAAAGAATTCAGACTCCAGAGCAAACTGTTCCTTATTTAGTGCATATTTACTATTTTCACTTTCAGAAGGCACTTATCTAACATCCTAAAGCTATGTACCGGAGACGAAAACAAAATTGAAGGAAAAAAAAAAAAGTAAAGAAAGAAAAGAAAAAGATACTAACTCTAGATTCGGTCTTGCTAAATGAGAAGCCGATTTATTCAGACTAAAATGGAGTTTCGAAATAGGTTACTTAATGCATAATGCATTCATTTAAAAGTCTGACAAATATCTTGTTACCTCCAAAGACAGAAGTGCCCTTTTAAGTTGCACATACCAGTAATGGAAAATTATCTTTTGCAATTAAACTGAGAGGTTTAATAATTTAAAAAAAATGCAGTGCAACCATCACAAGGAGCAGGCTAGACAGACTACACAAGGCTTAAATTAGACTGCTTCATAATCATGGAATGTGTAAAGATGAAAAGAATCAGGTTTTGATACCCCATCAATCATGGTAATTCATTTCTAAAAATGCGTTAACCTTGGAGAGTCGGACTACTCAGAGCCATGAATAACATTGTTTATCATTTCAGCTTACACCTCATGCTTAAAAAGATAACAGTACAAAACTACTCGGTTTAAAATTGCACCAATTAAAGTCAAAATGGAAATGAACTTAACATTGTGTCCAGGAAAGTGTGCTCATGATATTACTTAAGGAATACAGATCTTTTAAGTTTAGTTTATCATTAGCAGAATCATGTGCAGAGGAACAAAGAAAATGCGTTGTTTTCTCTAACCCTTCTGTGCTGCACTAGCAGACGTTGGAGACATCATTTAGCTGAGTTAAATAAAATTTTAGGGGACAATATCTTGAGGGAGACTCTGCCCGCTTTAAAATCGTTAGTTGCCAAGATTTTCACATTTTGCCCTATGAAGAGAACGGGCCATTTTGTGCTTCAATAGGAGCGTGGCATATATTTCCAATACTGATGACAGTTTGTAATTCTAAATTCAGAAAAGCAGTTCAACACATTTCCAGTAACTAACCACTTCAAGGGTAGCTAGGAGCTAACTGCAAATTTAAATTTTTCTTGATGACTGCCCTGCAAGTGTAGAATTTAATAATTTATTCCATTTTGTTAAAACAATGCCGCTTTCATCTTATTTAGAATTATTTAAAGGACGTTTTCTGCTTGAAACCATGAGAACCTTGTACCTAGAGTTAATTTTCTGCTGGCTTAACTACACCGGTCTGCTATTGCCATCTACTGGCTTCCTTGTATGCTGCACATAAAATACACAAAAGGGATGTTTTCTTAAAAAGCAGATCCAAAATACTGCCCTAAAATCGAATAGCTAAAAAATAATATAGAGAAAATGGGGAGAGTTGCCTCCTAACACGAGCTGAAACAATTTCGTCGGTGTGGAAACCCTGCCGTGAGAAACCCGACTGCGGACAGTGACCCCAGGACAACACAGACAATAGATGGGAAGTGACAGCCAAGACACGGGTTCATCTTTAAGCCAAGCAAAAACTCAGAGACTAAAGTTGGCTTCTCTTCCACGCCATCCAAGAAGTCCCACCGCTAAAAATGCCGCTTGGAATTTGTAATTTTATTTTAAAACCGGCAGAACGCAGGGCAACAACCCATCCGCCGCCTTCCCCTTGCCGGAGTGAGGGCAGCGTCGCCGTGCCCGTGTCCCCAGCCCAGCTGGGACCCTGTGAGAGGCAGAGAGCTGCATTGACTTTCTGAGCAGCTTTTATCTTTTGCTGTCCTACTCGATTCCTCTGAGTCTCCAGCTGGAGTTTACTCCCATTGCCAAGACAGAGACCTCATACCTTCTTTAACAGAAGATTGTCATTAGTCTTTTCCTCTGTCTAAACAATGGCAAAAACACAAGCACAAGAGTGACGACATACAGGCAAAGCTTTAACACTTCAGACAAGAACACAAATTAAACGATGTTCGGTTCATACAAGGAATTACAGCACACCTCTGAATCACAAAAGCTTTCTTAAAAAAATTATTTTGTCTCTCGGTCACTTTAGCCACTGCCACTAAAGGCCAGAGGGTACAGCCACGGGGTATTGGTTTGTGGCCAAAGAAAAAAACAATGGATGATATCCTTGGAGAAATGAAGGAAAAAAATCTACCCCCACATTTTAAAAAGGCTATTTAGTAAAAATCTGGCGTTATGTTTTTACTTCAGTATCTTTTATAAACACCATCGCAGAACTACAAAATACTGTTTCTATTGGAAAGCTGTAGGAGAAACCTGATCCTGCAAATATTTTGGCACACCCTTAACAGTAAGGCGGCCACTCTGACACAGCCCGGAGGGGCACGAGCCCAGCCCCTGTCTCCTACAGAGACCGGTAGTCAATCCCTATGACAAGAGTTTAAGAACAGGGCAAGATCTTTCTCCTACATACTCTCCCATCAGCAAGCGGTGGTTTTTTTAGGGACTTGTTAATTCTTTTGGTGTTTTAAAAGCTAGCTCTCCGATTAAAATTTTGCTGGCAAAGCTATGTTGGTTTAAAGGAATTTTTTCTCAACTGACATAGTTATGCTGGCAGAACTTTTAATGATGTATTAATGTATCAACAGAAAAGTCTCTTTGCCTGTACAGTTAATTTTGTTTGAGGAATCATCTTCTGCTACATCAGCAAAGGAACTACTTTGCTAGGCACGCACAACATGTTCATTACGGTAGTTTGTCCAAGCGGACAAATCCTTTCAAATGTGGACAAACTTGAAGTCTGGACACATGCACAAGGACTTGTAGGATGTCTCTGCCCTGAATGGTCAGAGACAACCTTTACTGACCACATCAACAAAGCAGATGTGAGTCTGAACTAAAGGAGTCAACACAATGTATTTGGAAATTGCTGAAGGAAGCAGTAGCCATAGTAGACATACGTAAAATACACGTGTCTTCGAGCTTCCTTCCAGTCAAGCTGACCACAAACACATCTTTAGGAATTTAGTTTTCATATTACAGTTTTAATTGGTGCATATGACAAATACTGTTTGAGATCTTTGAGGTGTGTTACTTCTTACCACCGAAGAAAACAGGCATATATGATCATACCAGTGTGAGGACAAATTAAGAACTAAATACTACATATTAGCTATCTCTGTACACAGAGTTATAATCTTTTATACTATTAAGTAAGCTATATATATATATGCACATATTAACACGTTTTCACAAACACACACACAGACACAGATGTGTTATATAATATATAGAAGGCATTTCTGTATATTATATACCCAAGCACTCTCTCAAAAAGTTACAGTAAACATACAGGCAGGCACAATAAAACAGTATTTTTGTAGAAAATATACTTAGTGCACATCTTAAGTGCTGAACAATATGTTACAGCATCTGTACATACTTTGAAAATTCTAAATGTAGAGCAGTCTTCGTTAATCAGATTTACTTCTATGATATTTGAGATTGCATAGTTAAAGGAAGATTCCCAAAGGTAAAACCCTGATGCCATGCATGTCACACGTATATTAAGTATGCTTTCAAATGCAGAAACAACAAATAAAGGCTTTGTTGTTTTGCTTTTGGCTCTATTTTACTTATTCAATTAGTTTTGTAGAAAATAAAGGTAATTTATTCTTAAAATCAAAATTATCCAACTTTCTGGAACATTACCAAAACACTAAAGAGGTCTATATTTCCCCTCTCTTCCAAGTTTTTCGACAAGAATTGACACGAGCTAATCAAACCACTTTCTGAATTCTGTAAAAATATTCTAAACATTTCTACTTTATAGGCCAAGTTGCAGGATTAATTGTGCCAGAGTATGATGTTCACCCATAGAGATGATCACTAAAAATAATCTGTTAAGTTTCCAAACACTAAAAAACAAATAAAAGCCATTAAGAATATAATGAAACATATACATATTTTTTTTTCCTGATTTATAATGTTTTGCAGTGGAAAGATTCACTACAGTGCCTTTTTCATTACTCAAGTGTCAAACTGCTGTAAACAATTCTTTGGCAGAGCAACTGGGGCAAAGAAAAAAAAGAGGAGGGTGGGGAAATTAAAAACATAAAGGAGGCGAGGGATGGATGAGGACAGAGGCATCATTTCTTGCTTTTAAGCTTTGAAGTCATTAGCATGGAGGATCTGAGCAGTAATTCTCATGGACAAGCGTGCTGGCAGTCCATTCGAAAGGAACACGGTTTCAGCTAGTCTGTACAGAACATACCTGCATTTCAGATGAGCAATGGGTATGTGATGTTTTAGTTGTGGGAGAGTTGTTGCAGTATTATTGCTTAAAAATGAAAATAAATAAATGCTGACTATGCAAATGCTGACTATGTTAGCTGATGACTGAGAAAATCTAGGAAAAGCATGAGGAACAACTTGCTTCCATGTTGAGGACGTCCAGGGTTGGAAAGAGTAAAGAAAAAATATGAGAGAGGCACAGCTTGAAATTTTAAGTACTTATACCAAGTAACTTTGAGAGAGTATCCGTTTTGCTGCACAAACAGTTCACACCTGTGAGCCAGATTGCATGTGCTGAGCTGAGTTTACTTCACGCTGATTTAACTCACCACTGGAGGGGCTGAGCTGAGAAACATGAAAGTGGAAACAGTACAAGAAAGTGTACATGTGCAGTCACACCACCTGCAATTTATGGAAGCTGGGAATGAACACTGAGTAATCTGATATGGGAATGGTTATGCTTAACGTGGCACTTATTTTTAGTGACCATTTGGAGCGTTAACATTACCACGAGTAATAAAGAAAAGCTTACAAACACAGGCAGATGTATCAAAAATGTGAAGGATGTGCATGTTACTATCCAATGGCATTAGTATGAATAATCTCATTACACACTGAATATATTCTGTGCACATGTATATATCTAATACACATGTTCATCTTTGGGGAAAAAATACAAAGGTATGCGATGTATGCTACACTGAGGATGCCATTGAAGCCTCAGTAAAGCTTGGCAGAAAGTTTGGTCAAGCTTGGTTTCAGAAGCTCCGACACGTTCTAACCTGGAATGCCTAAACTGGAATTGCACCATGACAGAAGGCAGCAAGGAACTCCATTAAGTCTTTACCCAATTAAGTGCTTCTGCTTAAAGGGAAGCAGCTTGCATGTGGCAGTACAGTAAAATGCCGCTACTCAGCTAAATCTGAAGTGGCTATGCTCATATCAACTATGAAGGTAGCAGTGAGGCATCCTAGCTCTCTTTGATGTCTTCAGAGAAAGAAACTTAGGCTGCCATACAAATTTTCGGTTACAATTTTGAGGCAATTCCCATTTTAAAGTGCTGCTGTCCTTCTGCTACAACCTCTGTGCGGCCTCAATCCATGTGATGATTCTGCTGCCAAGTAAAATGTCATGATCCCATAGCTCAAATTGTTGAATCTAGACTGGAGTTAGGTCCACTGATCTTCTGACAAAATGTGGAAGTGTGTGTACTGTTAGACCTTCTAAAGCTGTTAAATAACAATGTGACTCACCAGGAGAATCGATGGAGAAATTGTGCAGAATACCAGTCTAACTAAGTTTTTATTAATTAAATGCTAGAATTAGCTAAAGATTAACACTCTCTGGTTTCTTTTGATGGCATATCCTAAACACACACTGCCTTGTGGACACATATTTAAGTTTTTTGGCTGTGTATTTCAGATGCTTACTGCTATGACAGAAACTCCAGCTGCTGTGCTGTTCGGTTTAGGGCCTGTGTTGAAATGCTTCTTTATCTTCCCAGCTACTGAGAGCTGATGTTCATTCTCTGGAAGGCCATCATCCTGCAGAGAAATAAAGCAAAATAAAACTTCAGGGAGAAAAGGCAAGATAAAGAAATTGCAAGGTGATTCTGATAGCACCTGCCAACGTAGAAAAGTTTACAAAAAGTTTTGTAATGAAATACGTGTCAGTCATTGTTTCCATCAACATATCTAAGGTAATTATAAGATGAACACCATATTATGTCATGAACCAGCTTCCGTCTTCTTCTTTACTCAATATCTTCCTCTCAAACTTTAGGTGATGTTAGTTAATAATAACTGTTACATATTTTACTATTCTTTCTACTGTGTCTTGACTACCACTGCCAAGTTATTTTTAGGTCCATTAATATTTCAAAGCTTGATAAGCTCAGAGTTGTATATGATTTTGTTTACTCATGACATAAATTTAAAGGTAATGATCTCAAAAGTAGGAAGTGCCGAAGAGATTAGAGAAACCAGAGGCCCTGTTTTGGTAGGATGCAGGAAAAGATCTCCAAAAAGCCCTGGGAGATGTCAACAAAGTCCTTGTCTCATTGTAAAGGTTACAAACTTGTGGGCTATGAGGTTGGGTGAATGTTAGAGCCACAGCTCAGCAAGTCCCACGGTGAGGAAACCCAGGCAAGATGGGAGCTGAGACATGCCCTGGCTGAGACCCTCGTGATGGGTGAGCGCGCGACCTCATCAATACCAGGATGGATCTTTGGTACCTCTGCAGGACAGGGTAGGCGTGAGCTCATGGTAGGCTGTGGTATTCCCTGCAGCTTATGACTGTAGCGTACTAAAACCATAGTTAAACAAAGCCACCTCTGCAAATCGAATCTCCGACTGACGGATAACAAGAGACTGCAATTCCTTCCCCCAGTCCCAAGGCACACAAGCCTGGGATGCTGTGGGAAAAAGACGGGCAGAGGTACAGACTGCCTGGGAAAGCAGAGAAGGGCTGGAGACAGCGGTGGGTGGCCTCATCTTCCTTGCCAAAAGACACATGTTCTCAACGTGAGCGAACCTGAGGTAAAAGTAGGCACAAAACTGCATGGCCAAGCAGAGGCAGACACGTGTTCTGCGGTCCTGCCCACCTAGTGAGATGGCTGTGGGCGACCTCCAGCCCAGAAACCACCCAGCTGGACCAGGAGGTGCCTCCTCCCGCTCAGATATCCCGCTTTTCAGAGCAAACCCATCTATCTGCACCTAGGCACGCAGGCAGCCTCGACGCTGAGGCGAAACCCTAGCAGAAAGAAGGGACTTTGCACTTTCGTGCAAGTCAGTGGGTTGAATTCAAGCCCAAGACAAGAAAGGAGTTTTTTTAGAAGTTGCAAATAAGACCCTTATGCCTGAAAAAAGTGCAAAAAGCCACCACTCAGTGAGACTTCCCCGCTAGCCGGATATGCAGGATTTCAGACAACAATACGCAGAATAGACAGAATAGGCAACAAAAAGCAGAACAGGCAGAATATGCAGGATATCGGGTCACTATCCATCCACAATGGTCATCCCAAGCTGGTACTGCATGGGATGTGTAGCTATCAACCATTGAAAACGTTCTTAAATTCCACTTAAGCAAAATCTGAGCAGAATAGAGGCAAAAAAGAGATAAGATTAGAATACAGAGAGATGACAGACACTTTTTTTTTCTGGCTTTGCAGCAATTCTGAGTGCACTTAAAGAGTTACAGAGTCGCTGCAGTAAATCATTAGTTCAGTGAGCATATGGGAATTTTAGGGAGGGTGGTTAGGGTTTGTTATTTATTTAGCTTGGGGAGTTTGTGTTTAGAGATCCCTCACTCACCCCTTAACAAAATGTCTCAGCTGGCAAAATATGGTCAAGTGCACACAGCTGCAAAACACAAAACAAAACAATACAACCCAGTAGCTGATTATTGTCTAGCACTGGGGAGTCTTGGCTTGGTGGTATATGACCCCTAAAAATAACCTGCTTTCCGCTGACCTCCCCTTTCCCAGAAGAAAGCTAGTCTGTAAAGTGAACTCTTCTTCGCTAGTGTGGGGGAAGAAATCATTCTCTTGGCTTTCTTGACATGAAAGCCTGCCAAACGTTCATGTCGTCTTGTCAAAAAGACAAAATTACGGAGAAGACAATAGTTACCAGGACTGTGGTAATATTTTATTGGTGAAGCACCACACCCACAGTTCCAGTGGCAACGCGCCAGAGGCATATAGTTTGGGCTCCAGCTTTTCGATGCAATATCTTCCAGCTCAATTTAGGATGCAGCATAGGGATATATGGGAATTACTTTATGGTTATTAAATTTTCTACTGTCGGTGCTACCTGATGTTTAGTAGTTATCTTTTTTTTTTTTACTATTTCAACATGCTTTATAAACAAGCTAATATGTATTAGCGGGCTCCTGGAATCCCTTCAGCCAACAATAAAATAGATAGATACTGAGGGTGAGAGATGACAGCTGTTTAACTACATACAAACCAAGCTGCTCTGCAGTTTAAAAATGCAGGAAGTGGAAAAAAAATCCCCATCAGATTCCCCAGAATCAGCAGGGTAAGTTGTAGAATTGGATAACAGGCTCAACATTGCTGACAAGAATTTCATCAGGTTGCTGTAATGGGAAGGATGTCAGCCCCCAAAGAGGTTAACTGTTCCTTTCCCCTATTTTAACCTTTTGCTGTTTCTTGCAGCAGGTTAGGATCACAGAATTTGATCTCAGTTTTAGCAGGCAGGCCAAGATCTTTTAAAAGATGACTAGTGATTTTTGGTGCTCAACTCTGGGAACTTTAAAGGGTTATCAGCTTCAGAAAATATTGACTGCTCTGAAAGAAGCGCTCTCCTGAGCACATCTCAGAAGCTGAGCAGTCAAAATCCTTTGACAGCTTGAAAACTCTGGTCCAGAATATGAGTTTTCACCCGGACAATGTAAACTGCTTGGCATCTGAAGATAGTTGTTTTTTTTTTTATCAGGCTCCACAAAATACGTTTCATGGTCTACTTGCAAGAAATCAAAATAAAATTAAAAAAAAAAAAAGAGGCAGAGGGTCTTGGCATCATTTGAGTAATTAATAAACAGTTGTCGTATTTGCATTGTTCTCTATGGCAGGAGACATTGCCACTCAAGTGAAAAAGAAGTGTTAAAAAGATGGAACAAAGTTCAGGATTCCCAGACTCCTACTGCCCTGAAGCACTCAGATCCATTTCACAAGCCGGTCACAAGAGCTTTACTTTCCAAGTCTAAAATCATCAGATGAATAGGTCATTATATAAGTAACAGCACAAAATTAGAGCAAATAGAAGTGCTGGAAAAGCTTTTCGACTCTGTTTCTTTTAAGGATTACAAGGAAATTTTTCTTTGGGCAGTGTCCTAGGGTGTAACCAAAAGTAGCGCAGCTGCCAACTATGAAATGTCCTTTTAAATTAACTTCCTTACAAATGTCCAGCTCATTACTATTTACTATTCATTTCCTTTGCACACAAATTTCCAAGGCAGACATGGTTAAAGAAATATGTAAAAGCTCAAGTTTCTCTAATTCTTTTGAGGCTGGTGTGTGCCATCCTCCTCCTTCAGCAACTACACACCACATTTTATATTGATTATTTTAACAGAGAAGGATTTACAGAATGCAGTCCATCCCTTTCAGCATTCACTCCTTAATGCTGTATTAGGAAATATTTACTACTTGTACAAAAAAAAGAGAGTAGGCTTGTACTGTAACTTGTATAGTATAATTCAGGTTATCAATATCATATATATGTTTAAAATATATATATGTTTAAAACGCCATACCTCAAGCTTCCAACCTCTTTTGTAATTCTTTGGTTTTGCAAAGAATTTGAGCAGGTAAAGGAAAGAGCCGAGGTCCCTGTAGGGGAAGTATAAACTGATGGATTTGTTTCCAGGTCTAAGTGTACTGCATAGGAGAGACAAATCCAAATAAACACAACGGAGGGGGCAAGGAACTGCTGCTGAATTGCATTTAGAATTCAAGATCTCCATCTGTGGCAGTGGCACATAGCCAACATCTTTTCAGGTTTTGTTTTTTTGAATTGAAAACAGCTGGGATATTATTGACATAGGAACTGCTTTACTGGTCTGACTCTGACCATAACAAGTTTTGCAGTTTCCAAGAGGATTCCAGCTATTTTTATAGCAAAAACTGAAACCGAAATGAGGGTTGGCTCCTACTGAAACTGTCAAAGCACATTCCAGGAATCTCAGCAATTTACCAAGTAATCACATAGTAAGCAGCTATAAAGTAGAATGGTTATTTACAATCTACAAAACGGTTTTATACAGTGTAAGCAGTTACAACACTTCTATCAAAGGTTTGATCAAAGAGAGAAAATGTTTCTTAAAATTGTCGAAGAAAACATATGCCTGCTTTTCCAGCCAGCTGTCCTAGCCGGTATTTTAGCTGCACGTTTACAACTCTGCGAATAGGTTCAAAACCGAAATCAGAAAACGGAAAGTCAAGTCCAGCATTTGATGCCACGGAAAAGTATTTAAACAGTTTATCTGGGAAAATGGAGTGTTAGGTGAAAACTCCATGTGCCATTTCTTCTCACAAAGATGGCATTTTACGAAAGTTGCAGACAGTTGCTCAGGTAATCATGCCACATAGATCTCAGAGCCTTTTATAAACAGGGATAAGGATATTAATTTCCTGTCCTCAAGCCGGGAAAATGAGGTACAGGACGGTTGTGTGGCAGACTTGCAGCTGGTCAAGCTGGTGATGGTACGGGGATGCAAGGTTGGACCTGACAGCAGTGTGCCATCCTGCCTCCATATTCAAGCAGGCTGTCCCTGCGGGGCCATCTACGGTGCGCTGCCCCGACCCATGTCAGGGAAGCGTCATTTTTCACGAAAGCATTTAAGCACCTGCTTCAACTCAGCTATGTTCTTATTTCTCCTGAAGTGAACTGGGATTTTAGTGCCATCTAGTTAATTTTATGCCTGCTATCAAGCATTTCCATGTGTGATGCCTTGAAATAGGAGCGATGTTTGGAATTTGCTCCAGCACTTTCCTGAACTGGCCCCAGTGCTGGCCTTTCTCCTTCCAGAAAAAATATCTGGAGGACACATAAGAGAATTCAAAAGACATTTTGGTCTGCGTTATGAACTATCGTTAGCACACTGCTGAAGACAAAATACTGATTCGTCTCAGTTGCTAAAAGCAGCGATTGGACAGAAAAGAAGAAATTACAGAACTGTCACGGAATATTTGTTTCATTTATTTATGGACAGAACTGCTACAGGTTTTGACTGCAAAGAATTATAATCAGCATAAAACTATGAGAAGAGGTACAGCAGAGCTGGACCAATGGTAAATTGAACACAGTATCTTGTTTCCAATGGTGCATCGTAGTCGCTGCTTATGAAATAGTACTTTTAACGAAGACAGGTAGATCTTGAACTTTCCCTGGTATATCCCCTAGTTTCTGCCAACCAAGTACTTAAGAACTTTGTGAGCCAGGAGTTGTATCAAGACAACCATATTTAATAGGCACCGATAGACTCATCCTCCAAAAATGTACCAAACTCCCTTTTGAATCCACTTATACTTGGCCTCTACAGCATCTTCTGGCAAGGGGCTCCATATTTTAACTTACTGCACAGAAACCCAGGAATTTGCTAGGGTGCTCCAGTAGCCAGAGCTCAGGTTTGGTTAGCGGAGCTCTGAAGTGCTAGAAGACTTTAGCCCCTGGTCCCTTTCCCTGTCCCTCCCTGTCAGCCCGCACTAGCGAGGGCAGGGAGCCGACCCTCATGTCACCTGCACACACTATCGCCATCACATTACTGACAGAGAGCTGCACCTCTTCTTCTTAATACATCTCGCTAAAATGGCTGCCTAAAATACACTGTGGTTTAACTGAAGTTAAAAAAAAAATGAGCCCGGGGGGAGCATTAACAGTTCCAAGATATTTTCCAGAAAAAGTGGAAGATTAGTGACCGCATCCTTTTGTGGTGTAAACAAGTGATGCTTCAGTAACCTCAGCAGCAGTGCGCAGCCTGACACCGTGGGTGACCTGCCCACTCTGTAGCTTCTGATCAGTCACTTCCATCTCTTCCTCAGCAGCACCCCAGAAACCCCTACCCATCCTCCTCCCATGCAGAGGAACAGAGAGACACCTCAGTCATTAAAAGGCATTACAAACTGTGACAGAACACCATGTCCAAGGACAGCACCTGGCACCAAGGAAAATTAACGTTTCAGCTGCTTGAATGTCATCTCAAAAATGAAAAGATTTTCATCAGACATTGTCCTGCATCCTTGCACTCTTCATACACTGAAGAAGTGCTCTGCACGAAATAGCATTTACAATTATAAAAAAAATTGGTTTGGGCAATAAGGGAGCCTCAAAGACTAAAGCATATGCTCAGTAAACACTTAACTGATCACCACTACTCTGGGCGATATAGAAGACACTTTCATAAAAAAAAAAGTTAACATTTGGCACTACTATATATTTGAATTTTTAGAATAGTGTTTTAGTGAAAGAAATATTTTGGATATGGCAGCTGAGGGACCAAACAGTATTCCAGGGAGGAATGCACACTCAAACTTGCAACAAACAAAAGAAAACATTATTTCTTCCTCCTTTAATTTTTTTTCTCTGCTCATGTATTTCTTTTCTCAATCTTCCCTTTTAAATTTGAATCTGGATTTTTTCCAGTTTTTCTTTCTTGTCATCCAAATATTTTAACACATATTAAATAGTCTGATATAATTAACAATTATTAAGTAGCGTCCTTCTCTCAAATTTCATTAAAGAGAAATCTCTTTATTCTCTGCCAGATTTATCCGTATGCCACCTCACTGATTACCACTTTTTATGGCAAATGTCCAGTTACTTAGAGATAAGCCAGGATACATAAATAGCTATTTCATGCTAACTCAGATTAAATGGATATGGCTGCACATAAATATATGTATATTTCAACGTCAGAAGCTAAATATGATTCTAAAGGTTTCCCTGTTTCATGGTGGATCAAGTAGGCTTAACACTACAGACTATATTTCAATAGCTCTTAATCATGACTGTCAGATTTTTGAGTCCATCTGATTTTAGGAGAGCAAAATGTGTCACTGAACCCACAAGCTGATTGTTAGAGGTATAAATTTGTCAAGTGTGGTTGAGATTTGTTGAAAACCCGGCCCAAAATATTTTAGAGAAAACGTAGCTGAGCATGCATAAAATAGTGAATACTCCAAGGTAAGCGTGATATACTAAACCAGCCCTGTAACCCAGCACATTCCCAGTTAAATCTGTGGCATTTTAAGAATGTGCTGGCTCCAAAAGGGCATAGAAAGGACTTGACAGAAAGAGCTCAAAGGTGCCAAACTACAAGTAGCATCTCCAAGCCTGAAAATACTTACATTAACCCATGGATGCTCAAGAACTTGCAAGGCTGAGAATCGCAGATCTACATCTACTTGAAGCATCATTGTGATAAGTTCCTAGAAATGTAATACTGGGTCAAATTTAAAGAACATTTTTAAAGAACAAATCAACATTTAATTCACTGAAGTGCTCTTCAACTGATTATGTAAGAGTGCTCAAACACAGAGTGAACTATCAACTGCAGAAACATATTAAGATTGTTGAAAAAAAAAAGAACAACTATGAACTGCTGAACTTCAAGCTGAACTTTTAAATCAATATCTAACAGTACCTGGAAAAGCTAGAAGACAGTTCTGAGTTACAGTTCTGTAGCCACTGTTTAAGAGAAAAGCACTTAATACATAATGTACAAAACAGATGGTCACATGAAATTAGGTTAGCTTCCCATTAAGAAAAAGCCAATTCCTCTGTAGGAAAAAAGCCAGCAAATCTAGAATTTTACTTTCAGCTGTTGTATAAATGACATAGAGGATATTTAAAAAGAAAACCAACTTAAACCCATAATTTTTTAGCCTTTGATTTCCTCCACAATTACCTAGTTTTCAACTAGCATGTAAATAAACATACATTTAATTCCACCAGTGCGTGGAGTGCACAGAAAACAGGATGGCAGTATGACAGCAAATTAAGAGGTATCAACAAAGTTCATAATTCTTACTGACAAGGAGAAGTTAAATGAACAGGCTAATGCTTCAAAACAGAAATTTTAGACTGAACTCTTTGGAAGGAGTTTCACAGGAGAACACCATTGGCAAAGGACTTGCAGAGTTCTTGTTTATGATGCTATGAAATAAAGCCTGCTACAATACCACGATGTGGTTTAGAGGACTTCTTTCAACCCTATGACTGTATCATCTCATTCGTTAACCTTATTAGTTAACAGGCTAAAATACTAGTCTTGATCAGCCTCCTACATACCTGTAAGAACAGGATTTAGCTCTCTGAAGAATGGAGATTCAGAATGTAGAACACTACCCTCATTACCTGTATCCACTGACAAATTTCGACAAATTTTTGTGTGTGATTAATTAAACACTGTCTCACTGAAAGAAATAGGAAGACAGTTTTGCCTGGATTTGCCTTAGAGGCTACAGAAGTAAACGGGTAGAAATGAAGCACTTATCTACAGGATGACCATATGAATAGTTTTATGGTTTTGACTGTTTTTTAACATACTTATATGTATTAGCTCTCTCTATGTATATTTATACACATGACTATAGTGAATGCCAGATCCCTAGAAAATCCATGAGTTAAACTGTTGCTCCAGTGCACTAATGAGATCTAAAAAACTTGATCTGCTCTGCAAGTAAAACGAACTCTGTCAGGATTTGTGCCTGAAAAGCATTGTATCTGCCTTAGCACACCTCAAGCTCTACATCCTTTGTGTCATGTGCCAAGAGGCTACAGCCCGTGAACTGGTGGCCAGAGCAAGTCTGTATTTCATACCGCACTGACGACAGTAAGGAGTTACAGGCAATGTGAGGCCTGGTTCTTTGACGGAAAGAAACAACAGACATATCATCTAATGGGATTAAAAAGGGGAAAACAGCCTCCCTATAATATTATTATATAATATTCAAAGGCTCCAGGTTGGTACCTGGTCCCCATCATAAAGTCCCAGGGAGCTTTCAAGCTACAAAGTGTAAGTCACTTAAAATTTTTCTTGATCGGTAAGGGCTGCAGGTGTCTCTGTTGTGTGGGACACCATATAGAGACGGGGTCCATTTCAGAACCACCTGGAATCTAATAGACAGACAGTGATAAAATGACAACATGCTCGGTGATCCAGAGGAATTTATAGGTGTAGCAGGAGATGTATGAGACATGTCAAATACAGCACTGTGAAAGAACAGCATGCATTAGACACTGGCACTCGGAATCAGACTGGAGAAGGAAGTATCATCAAGTATAAAACCCACCTTTGCAGAGTCAGAAACATTGTCCCAATAAGGAGATGGAAAATCGACCTGTCCCATCAAAATCTGATCAAAAAGCACTTCTTGGTCGTCTCCACTTCTGTAAAGTAAAAACCAAACAAAAACAACAACAAAACCCACAAAGAAATTATTTCCAGAGCTGGTTTCAATAGGTTTCTTGAAATTGCTTTTAATTGGTCATCCCTTATGCTTTTGGAAGCTGTTGATTCCCCCCAAGCATGCAACCATGGATGTGAATGGTGAGATCGTAACACAAAGTGCATTTGGTACATTCTTTCTGAGGTAACCTGCTTGTCTTTAGGATTGTCAACAACTTTGCAATCGCTTTGAGGGGGAGAAAAGATCTGACATGTCCTTATTAAGTGGCTTACATTTTAATTACCTTTTACCAACCACAAAGTATGTTGTATTTGGTCCATGAAAGAAGATGCTTATTTCACTGTGTATTTTAAACATCAGGCAAAGGCACCCAGAACCCGTAATGGAGGGTCTTGTTTTGTAATGCAATGAAGTTTAAACTAAAATAAACAAACATGAGACAGAGATTTTACAGTAAAATCACAGACATTTATGGGGTTTGTGTAAATTACTATGCAGAGCACGGGAAAAAACAAACCCTATGAGCACAGAACTTTTTCCAGTGGGAATCTCTGTGTTTAATGCAAAAGCAGCACAGGGACCAATTCACAGAACAAGGATGGTTGAATAGATCAGTCCATACCCACGGAATGGAGGGAAACCACAGAGCAGGATGTAAGTAATCACACCCGCTGCCCAGATGTCCACCTTCAAGCCATATCTAGAAGCGTGAGAGACATGGTTAGAGACATCCAACTCCTATGAACTACAGTACAAGAACAGACAAAACATTTTCAGAATTATTAATAATTTCTTATATATTCTCATGTGAACTTTATCTAAGTCCTACCTACCTATCCTAATTCCTCATTCAAATCTTTTTTACATTTACATCTTAAAACTACATTAGATCAGAATGTCGGAGTGCACAGAAGACATTGCTCTGTATTCTTGAGTTAGAGTGATGCCTACAAACAGGAAGCCTGCAAATGTGACACAGGCTGCTCAGGCAATTAGGCATTTACTCTGTGGAGCAAATCAGAAGAAGAGGATAGTGCGTGATAACAAAATAAAATTGAGTCAACAGTAGTTAGCAGTCTCTGGGGGCAGCTTAAGAATTAGTTTTATTGTATTTGCAAATGTCTAGTTCATAACTCAGTGTTAAGCTGAGAAGTTTGAGGCCAACAACTGGCAGAGGAACCTGATATAACTCCAAATTTGGCCCTGCTCTGAGCTGGTTTGGATAAGATAGCCTTCAGAGATCATTTCCAACTAAATTGTTCCATGAGCCATGACTCTGCATCATACCCAAGCAAAGGCAGCATAAAAAATATTAAGTGCAAGAACTCCCATCTGGCACACTGACGAGAACATGCTCCACTGTGTACACATTAAGGAATCATCGCAAGAAGACATTTACCCAGTTTCAGCAATGATTTCTGGAGCTACATATGTTGGGGTCCCACAAACAGTATATAGAGGTCCATCCACAATTGTTGCTAGTCCAAAGTCTCCCAGCTTCAGGGACTTGCTTCCATCTTGGTGCTCATAAACCTGAAGCAGGAGGAAAATTCAAAGGTTTAACACAAGGTAACTACTATATCATTTACTAACTACCTGAAACGTTCCTTCTAATTTACAATCTTTTTTCTCCTCCTCACCAACAACATACTTCTCCGCGTGCTTTGAAAATTCATGGACAATTTGGACAACTTCCCTTGAATGCACTCAGCGTGTTTGGGAAAGACTTACCTCATTACCTGGCCAACATGCTACTTGGTAGAAGCTAAAGCCCAGAAGCAAAGGTCTGACCTTCCAGCAGTGACATTCCGAGGTTTACTCCCCACTGACAGCCAATTCACAGTGTTGGGGGTTTAAGTTTATTCATTTTACTTGCAGAGCTTAAAGGCTCGCAAAGGAATTTCAGCTTCTTAGATAACACAACAGCGACTGCACTGATAGCAGCAACAGATTCTTCTCTGTGTGTTGAAGTCACAAGACGCACACCTGGTTGGAGTATTTCACCTAGAAACACCGTCCTCGGCTTGGATGACTGTTAAATACCAATCAGTGTCTTAGCGGTATGTTACCATCAGACATAGGTAGGGCTGTTAATGAGTATGCATGAAAATCCTGTCTCAAAACATGGTCTTCAGAGCAGCAACATGATCTTTTGTGGGGTTTTATGGGTGCAAAGGGAGATTAAGATATAGTCACAAGAAAAAAGCTAAAAACATCTGTAAAAAATAACACAATTTTAAAAGCTGGCTCAATACAAAAGAACAACCTCAAACCTGCAAATACCAAAAACCTACCAAAAAATGTTTAAAAGACTAAAATGTATCTATATTAAATACTAGACTGTGAGTCTTTCTTTAATCCAGCTGCTGGTTTGGGTTCTTTCTCCTCATTTTGAAATGGTGTATGATGCAATTTAGTGCTGTTTACCCCAACAGCACCTTAAAAAATGGGAACAGTCTACAGGAGGACTTCTTAAAGTATATATGCATCACTTTCTTATTTTGCAACCCAAATCAAAGCTCCATTCAGTGTGGCTCACCAGTAGTGATATCCCGACAACAATTAGCAGTAACACTGTGCGCAATTAGAAGTTATCATACTTCACAATCAAAACCAAAATCATCCCGAATACCCATCTTGACCAGCTACTCCTACATCAGAAATCACATTTATCTACAACTGTTTGCAATAGAAAATCCTGATTTTTCCTTACAAAACCACAATAAATTCTACAATGGACCCTTGAACAGTTCACTTGGTGCAAAAATGAAATCTTGAAGTCTCTCGCCACTGTTTGCTACAGATCCGCTATAGCTAATCATAATTAGTTATATAATACAGCCTAGTTTCTTCTTCATTAAGATTAGTCATGTCTAGAGAGAAAACCCCTCTCTGTCCTGAAACCCTCCTACCAGCTGATACAGCCACAAGCAGATATTTAGAATACATAAAATTCTTCTCCTTTCCTTATGTTATTTTTAACAATACAACTGGATCTTTAAGAGGACCAGCGATTTGATATGGATTCACATCTCTCTGCTACTAAGCCAGAAAAAAAGATAGGCTTACAGAAAAGCACTGGAAAAAAAAGCAATTATGGTTTTATTAAAAACACAGATTGTTAAATACATCTGGTTCCTGAAACTAAAGAAAGTGCTCTCTGAAATGGCAGTAATAAATCTAATTTCAACAACAGTTTTAATTAAAGGCTAGAGACTAGAGCTTTAAATATTCACTTGCTGAAAAATGTAAAGTGTGCACTTAGACATCAAGAGCTAAATTCAGTCTAATTAGCATCTCATATTCTATTTCATGCGGTTATCTTTTACAAAGCCCTTTGTGAGTTGCGTTAACCTAGTGAACGTTCATAAGTTCTCTCCTTCAACAGACCGCACCTTGTATGACTCATATATCCTAAAAATCAATTATGGAAAGGGCTTGTTTGGCAATATTTACCAATGCAGAAAGTTTGGTACCATGCATTTTCTAGTATTTTGCCCCATCTGTTTCCAGGAATTACTTTCCTTGGAAAACTACTTCAGCTGACTCGTAAAACTGAAGAAAGTAACTTTTCCTCACCCTGTTATAACTCCATATAAAAAGGAGCCCAATGTGAAGTTGTGGTATGTTCCTTGCCAGTCAAGGAATGTGAAAGATAATTTAATGCTCATGTTATTCAGAACAAACACTATATATGTTCCACTGCATTTAAATACTGAAGGGCAATTAAAGAAATGGGGATTAGTGCAAATTACCCACTATGTAGTGCTTTCACTGTTTTAACTAAGCAATAAAACTGTGTAATTGTACAACACTAATTGAATGCAGCCACACATAATTGTGTGCCACCATATGTATCCTATTACTATAAAGACTGTCAGTATTTTCTAAGCTGCGCTTGTGATCAGTGCAGATGGCAACAGTCAGAGAAGTTGTTCTCTAGGGTTTATTATATGGCTATAAAGACATCCCATGACTTGACAAAATAAACGTTCTAAATAGCAGCAATTATGAAAAATGTTCCAATTAAAACATGGAAGACACTCTCTGGAGAACAAAAAAAATATGCTAAAAAATCACAGGTATTCAGCATACCCTAAACTCTCGGACAGTTGACTGTTAGGTGGGCTTTGCCTGCCTTCATGATAATAAGGAATATTCAAGCACTTACAGAAACAACTGGTGTTGCACAGAAGACGTCTGAGACAGGTTCACACACACAAAGATTTATCAGCAGGGTCTATAGCTGATGGCACACATCTGCTCTGCGGGTGAATGAGGGGCTGGGAAGAGGTGCAATAAGGAGGCTCCAGATGAGCATCCTCCTCTGGGCACTCCCTCCGCGGCAGCATGTTCCCCCATATTTTTCCTGTAGTAACTCTACAGCTTTTGTCAGGCCTTGCTCACCCTCCCTGTTGTTCTTCCCTGCTAATGGGGCTGTTATCCTTGGGGCACACATCAATCGGGGCAGATGCTGCCTACCCCATCCTGGTTAGTTGCTCCACTTTGGGCAGGCCGGTTATAGGCTCCCCTAAACCTAAAGCCACAACTCACGGGTAGGAAAAGGGTAGAGGGGAAAGGGCAGATTCTCATACCAGTGGCCAGGAGAACCTGTTGTAACAACACTACTGGGGTTTGTGGGTGCAAGACCGTGACGGTTATGGCATGAAAGCAACAGCACAAGAACAACAAGGGAAAAATACTGCCACGACCAGTTAGGTGAAGGGTTGCAGAGCTGCAAGTGAAAGGCGGGCTATGGAAGGCAAGTAGAAGGTCCTCAGCAACAGAAAGGCTAAGACCCATAAGGCATTTTGCAAGTGTTTTATAAATACCACAAAAATAACCCTAATTGCAATGTTGTGATACAAGGGCCTAACCATCCCATTTGACAGATAAGAAGATAAAAGTAGAAGGGTCAAGAGAGACTACGGCCACAGACAGCCAATGTCAGAGACAGGGTCAGAACTCAGGTAAGGCTGGTTCCAAAGCACTCTTCTAAAACAGCATTTGTTTCTTTCAAGGACCTGATAAACCTTAGGCAATTAATATAATTTGTGAGTAAAATGCTGGCCTTTGCCAGTTAGGATGCTGCAAGAGGTTAAGTGCTGCATCCTCACTGCTCAGTATCAATATCAACATAGGACCTTTACATATGCACAACACCAGAAAACTCACTCTGAAACAATTCAGCTACCGTGCAAATAGTGTGGTCATCCCTGCTAGTGGGTAATGGCTGGGTAGGCAACTCTCCGTGTTGTCCCCACCTGCTGCCTACCTTTCTCTCTTCCCCCAAAAGCTTAACTCTACTGTTGTTAGACTTTAGGCATTTAGAGACATGTCGACAGCAGCAGGACAATCCTTGCCCCAGACCAAGACCCTCCTGCACACTCCAAGTCACAGCGTTAATGAATCCAGGCATGGGATTGCTATAACTTCTGCATGCGGCCACCTATGGACACCAGCACAAGGGCTGCAAAAGGAGTATTGATCATTTGTGTCTAGCGAAACTTCTACCCAACATGTTTTTAGCAGTTTCTGGAGAACGAGGGCAGGCTACGTCCTCACCCAGAACTACAAAGGCACCTGCCACTAGAGGAAACTCAATTGTAAAAATCCCATTCCCTGGAATTTTAGTAAGATCTACTTGAGTCGCCTTTCCCATAAAACCTCTTCAGTGTCAAGCAGGACTGTCAGGACTATCCTCAAACCAGGACAAGGACTAAATGCACTGCACTAAGTCATGGCAGAGAGCACACAGTTGAGAGAACCGACATTCTAGGTATCTTCAACATTGTTTTATGGTTCCAGAATATTGGAATTGGGACATCTTGATACTGGAACACATCAGCAAATTTGGGAAAACTCGGAGAACAGTGAAATAATCAGGAGAAATTAGTTTCTCAGAAGAATTATCAGTTGGAGAACACAATTGCTGCACTCAAGAGAGCAAAATTCTCAGAAAAAGGGTATGTTTTACACTGCCTGCAGGACTCATACAGATTCAGTCAGGAAAAGGAAGATTTAGGCTGCCTATTTGGGAAAGTGGCTTAATAAAACATGTTATAGTATTCTTTGGGAGATGCAGCAGGGAAAAGAAGGACACTGACGTCTCTTCCTGGTTGTGCTCTGATATTCTACGTGATTAGGGCACAACATTTACACCCACCATGTTTGTAAAACTGAACTGCTGCTAATTACTTAGGCAACTGGAGAAGGGCAGAATAGTCTACTGAGGACAGAACACCTTTGCATTTATGAGAAGCTTGAAATTATACTGCAGTTTACTAAAAGGTCACCTCTGGTGATCATTGGAATGACTCTGCCGCTGTGCCCTGGGGAACAGTCTAGACATACCGGTTTATGTTACTGTGCTTTTTGTGATAGCTGTTATTTTTAGGAAAGCTTTACGATGCTCAGGTTAAAATTGAAAGACCAATGACTTAAGAGACTGAAATAAACTTGGGGTGTGTGTGGAGAGAGGGAGAAGCGCACACTTTCTCTCACACTCTCCCAAGGTATCAACAATACTAAAAGCTGAATTTTCACTTACCAGTAGATTCTCTGGCTTGATATCTCTGTGGACAATGTTCAGGCTGTGAAGATATTTGATGGCACTGGCCAGATTGTAAAGCATCCCACTGGCATCCCGCTCTGTATATTTGTTGGTGGAAGTAATAGCATCAAAAAGATCTCCTCCCTGGAGCAAAATGACCATGGCATATGAGCAACACTGCTTGTGAAATGACTGAAAAAATTAGGGAAGATCAAGGAGCATCATTTATAGAGGAGGAGGAGGGAGGAGCAGCACAGTTTCCTTGCAGCTATAAACTATGGGTACTGTGATGACATCCCCCATAATGGCAGCTGAACACATCAGTATTTCAGAACCATTTGTCATGTCTTAGGTGGTCAGCCAAGAGGCCGGAGTGTCTATACAAACCGTTCCCACCCGCTGCTGCTTTTGTAACACGCCCAGCACTAGCCAACCTGTGTGTTCAGACCCGCTGTTACAAATTTCTGGCACGCCTACATACTTGCCTGTCACAATGCCACATACCAACCCTTGCCACTCTTTATTATAATCACAAACAGGCTGACACCAAATTTTTGCCCAAAGCCTGACTGAACTCCAGAAAATGAAGAAACTGAGTAAAACTCAAACCAGCTATGTCATCACTGCTAGCGTATTTTAAAAGTTTGTTTCCGTTTCATAAAACTTTGAAAACGTGGATTTTAGAAACCACTTTCTCTACACAAGATGTGAAGTTTTTGGTAGTGAGATACGTCTTGCAACTAACACTGAAGAACTTTCTAGCATATATGTCAGACAATCATACTGGAAGACACTTAAGAATTAACATTAGTATTTCACCACAGCTACAAATACCAATGGCAGCTTGTCCCATTTCCAGCTCATTGTGCTGTCTAATTCAGCGAAAAGCTACTGCCAGTGAAAGAAAAACAAGAAAACAAGACAGAAAGAAAGAAGAAAAGAAGGAAAAATAAATGGAAGTCCTCAAAGCTGAAATGATCTTCACCAGGATCTGAGGCAGCGATGACATTTGGACTGTATTTCCAGAGCTGAGCTGGCAAGGGGGAAGAAGAACATGTAAGTGCTTGGAGAAAGACCAAAAAATAAGTTTAAAGAAGAGATTAAGGAGGAAGCTTGACAGAGCAGAGGAAAAAACAAACATCTTTGGAGAGATGATACTCAGAGGTATTGGGCCTTCAGCCAAAATCAAAGCAGTACCATAAAGAAAACAGACCACCACCATCAACAACAAAAAAAAAGGCAGGAAAGGGGATAATTCTGCAAAAACAATGCAAAAAATCCCTGCTGTAGTCAAAACACCAAGAAAAAGAAAACACAGGACACTGTATTTTAAAGAAAGTGTTGGTATTTTCTGAAGGCAACAGAGGAGTCCAACTTTGCCAACTCTCATGATTTTATCAACAGCCTCAAGTTATTTGCTGGGTTTTTTTTAAGGCTCAGCTCCAGAGTAAACATTGTTTTCACTAGCAGAAAGGAGGAGGGGGAAGAAACAAAAAAGATTTTTTCCAGGAATCACAGCTACAGAGAAAGAGGTAGGAAAACACAACCACCAAAGACTCGAACCTGAGAAAACAGTCATTACTCGTTAAAAAAAAAACAACAAACAAGTTACTCGTTAAAAAAAAAACCAAACAACAAAACACAAACTATTAAAAGTTTTGTATTGTTGAGGTGCAGCTGAAGTCTGCCAGGACAGGTTTATTCCCACCATAGATGCAAAACCCCAGCTTTGGAAACTGCTTGCAGCCAACCATTGTCAAATCTGGACCACATCAAAACCTCTTGTTCTGGCTGGTGACTGATCAAGATACATCAAGATATGTCGTGTCAAGGAAAAGGAGGAATAAAAGGCCAAGCTAAACCAGAGAGAGGATTAGAGAGAAAGGCCAAATATTTGGCAAAGGTACAATACCATGTACTTCATGGCATTACCTGATCCCTAAGTATTAGATATCAGCATGTGGCAAAATATGTGGGATAAATAATCTATCTTCCCTAAGCTCCTTCCTGTGAAGCCCCTGTACCAGCTGCTTTTTAACATGAGGTAGTAGATTAGACAGATCTTTGGTCTTATCTAATATGTTCCAGATGCTCAGGAGAAGTGTCAATAACATCAGCAAAGGATCTGCCTCCAAACAAAGAAAACAGCCGGAGCTGAGATGTGAGGGGCGAGAAGGAAAGAAGCTGAACTTTAAAAAGAGAAGGGAAAATTTCAGCCTAGAGTCAGAAGAAAAAGAACAAATGTCCACATGCACGAGAAACCTAAAGTCAGAAAAAGACAGGGGCTGCAGAGCACATTAACAGACGGCCAAGTCAATCTGAAGCAGAATCCTTTTCTCCAGTTAAGCAGCCTACTTTACTCAGTAAAGTCTCGTACCAGGTAGCCTGGTAAGAAAAGAGAGCATATATTTAGTCTGTGGGATTCTCTGCCATTAAAAGAGAGGCGATATCCTGCAAAGAGTTAACAGAGCTGACAGCTATATCAGGCAGAATTGTTTTCAGGCTTTGCTTTCCCTGAAGAGCACTTTAACCTGCAAGGTTCTGCTTAGCCGATTCACACAGCAGGTCCCTATCATTTACTCAGGCACAAGGGGTGAGTTCAGGATGACATTTCAGTCTTAAATCCCCCGTTCTGGAGCGAAATGGGAGCAGTAACATCTGAATGCAGTTTTTATCATCTGTGCGCATGAGGAAGTATACTTGGAAGTACAGTAACCAATTATTTATTTATTACCTTGTTATGTAAATGATATAATCTCTCTTTTCTTCTGCAAAAGTGAAATCATATCCTGGAGCAGTAAAGGAAACTCTGCAATAAATCTTGCTTGTTAAATTGGCCAAACCCCTGTTAGGTTTGAATAACAATTTTGTTTCGCTGTGTAAAAAGGCAACGTGCCAGAAACCAGGTCCTTGCTTCCTTTTACAAGCACCACTTGCAATGTGTTTATATTTGTATTTATGAAGTGCTTTTTCTTACACTTTACAAAGCAATGAATGGCCTATCTGCCATGAGGTGAGGGCAGTATTTGCAGCAGCCACTTATGTCAAACATGTTACTGCCAATTAATGCAGGGTGGCATTAACTGAAACCGTGCTCTGCAGTATCAAGCCTTTTCTCCTTGAATTTCTTTCCTGTCTGTGAGTTTGATTTAAAGGCAGGTCTTCAAAAGTCAGTCAATAACAGATGGTTAATCAATTCTAACAGTGCACGCTATGAAATGGTAACAGTCAGCAATCGGTGAATTAACAATTAATGTCTTTCCAGAAATACCTTTCCTGGTGCCCCTAGAGTATAACAAGGCCTTCTTTTTTTTTTCTTCCTTTTTTTTTTTTTTTCCTTTTTCAATTAAATATTAAGGAATAGATGCTTGCTTCAAAGAAACAAAGTTAAATTCCCAGGATTAGGATATTTCTTCTAAATTTCTTCTATTATTCCACATAAAAGTAAAGAACATGAAAACAGTGCTCTCTAAGATATCTGAACTACAGAGATGTCTATAAAGCCCTTCTATAGCATAACTAAAAGCATAAATATCTTAGTAATCTTAGTATGGGCAGCAATGAAGAGTAAAGAAGAAAGAGTGCAAGAAAACAGATTTTTCCAGAAAGTGAATATAATGGATTGTTTTCTCTATATACATTTTTTAGGCTAGTTATTTTGTAAGAGTTTTCAGTCCCCTCCTCTCTTATTTAGCCGAGTAGGACTTTGATTAAAAATCCACCAGAGACTACAGTTTGAACATTTTTCAAGCATGAATAGCACAGCAGGTTGCACCCATAAAACCAGCTATGTGCTTACGTCTTGGCATGTTAGACAAGGCACAGCTTTTACTTCTTAGCACACCTCATGGGGACAAGATGAAGGATTTGTCAATGCAGGCTGAAGCTGGGGCTATGTTAGATTGCAACGCTGCGCAAGAGTATTGAGGCACCTTTGAACAAGCTCTCACGGACACTGGAAAAAACCTACAGTAGCATGGATCTCAGAGTGAGCTCACTTATATAAAAAGAGCAGTAATTATGATTAAAATAGTGTTAGATGGCTAATGGCATCTGAGCTGAAGCTGTGCTATTTCACATTGCACTCCTGAGTGCAAGAGAGGGCTGTGACTACGAAGAAGGTGGGAAAAATCTGCTGCGACTGGCTACAATGAGGGGTTCGCGGCATGGAAGAGTGCCAGTATTTGGTTTTTTTTTTTTCCTTAGGATTTAACTTCTCCATAAGAGACTAAACAGGGATGCCAGGTACCCTGTTAGCTCCTTGCCACCAGCATTTCCCAGTGCACCTCCTCAGAGCCTGGAGGTGGTGGGCAGCAGGGTTAGCTGGACCATAAGCTCCACAGCACCACTCAAGCCAAGGAGGGCATCAGGGAGACTCAAACTTGAGGGGACAATGTTGCCATCTCCTGAGCTGTGGAGCATGGTTTGAGCTTCCCACAGTTAACAAGGCTGTCCCAGCCTGCCACAGGGACAGGGAAGGTCTGTGTCCCTCCATCCATGGGCACCACTTGACAGCCTCCCTCGCCTGTACAGCACAGCAGCTTTGCGGAGAGCAAGGATGTGCAGCTCTGCACTGGGAACACAGCTTGTGTCACTGCGCTGCCAGAGCACCAGGGATAACGGAACAAACGAAACACTTTTCATTCTCCTTGCTCTCCTATTCCAGCCCAGAGCTTGAGACATTCTTTGAGAAACACTTGTACCCGGGATCATCCTATCTAATATTTCAAGGAGATGCCTACCTTAAGAGCATCACCTAATCTCCACCTACAACCGGTGCAAAGCAGTTAACAATCCTGCTTGCCAAAATTGCTTTCTCTCACGACCTCTGGTGGTGCCTGCTTCTAACCACAGATACAGAGAATGTCTACTGAAGGTGACCACACTTTTAATTTAAGTGTAAGTGGTCTGGCAGCCAGGGTTTAGAGTGCCTGATTTGCTCACAAGTGTTGAGTGTGCACATACAACAGGCCTGCACACAAATGCTGCTGCTGCACAGCTTTATTGTAACCTTCGTCCTTAAACACTGAGACAGGCTGAGAGAGTCAGGGCTGTTCACCCTGGAGAAGAGAAGACTCTGGGGAGACCTTATAGCAACCTTCCAGTATCTGAAAGGTGCCTACAGGAAAGCTGGAAAGGGATTTTTACAAGGGCACGTAGTAATCGGATGAGGGAAAATGTCTTGAAGCTGGAAGAAGGTAGATTTAGATTAGATATCAGGAAGAAATTTTTCGCTATGAGGGTGGTGAAGCACTCGAATGGGTTGCCCAGGGAAGCTGAGGAGGCCCCATCCCTGGAGGTGTTCAAGGCCAGGCTGGATGGGGCTTTGAGCAATCTGGTCTAGTGGGTGGTGTCCCTACCTATGGCAGGGAGGTGGAATTAGATGATCATTAAGGTCCCTTCCAACCTAAACTATTCTATGATTCTATGAACTGTGGATTTCCCAGGTGTAGGCACGAAAGATTGCCTTGATCAAGACAGAGGAATGGACGTGGCTGCTGGAAAGTTCTCCTTCCCGCAGAACAGCTATGGAAGGAAGGAGAATCGCTAATTCCATTAGTGAATGTGACAAACAGGTGTATTGTGTTAAAATAAGTATGGGGGACAAAGTGTCCTCAGTGGTTTTTCTGTCCTAACTTGGACAATTCCCTCAAATGTATTTTTACCATCTTTTATGCACAGTGACATACTTGTGTACTAGTACCAGAACCAAGAGCTAAATTCATACTTCATGCACTTCACTCTTGACAGTATGGGGACAAGAGATGGCCTGGGCTGAGTTTCATAATCCAGTTTGAATATGTAAAAATCCACCAGTGAGTGAAACAAATGCATGAGATCTGGAAGTTACTATGAAGAAATAAATAGGACCACAGATATAAAATTCTGCCTTTGCAAACTTACTTTTCAGAACAGAACCATGCTTTAAATAGCGGGTTTTTCGCTTTCACCTCCCCCCTCCTCCGGCTTAAACTTAGATTATTATCAAGGATGAAAACTTGACAATGTTTTAATAGAAATCAGTAGAGAAAAAAGGTAATACTGTTCAAATTTAACATAAATTAATGAAATTTAATTAAACTCTATCAGAGAATATTGAATTTTGAAGACTGATATTTGCAGCTATTCAGAATGGGTATATTTGCCACTCACCTCCAGGCAGATGCACTTTTTAAAGATAAAACTTTTAAAAGAGAATTATTTTGGGGAAGCAAATAAAACTGGTGATCTCTGAAGTACTGTCCATAGAGCAATTCTGAGTGCGGTTTACAGAAAGCTAGACAAAGATTTGAAATATTTTAAAGCTATAAAAAAGTATCTGACACATCTTTCAGTAAGGTGCTGGACAAGACTACCTTCAGAGATTCCTTCAATTCTAAATTATTCTGTGATTCTATGATTTTTAATAAGCTTTAATAACAATGACATTTCTGAATATGCTTGAAACAATTTTTAATAAGCAGCTTATCTCCAAAATACTCACCTTTACAAGTTCCATGACAAGGTACAACTCAGTTGGCATGTCCATCTCCTCAATCAGAAGTACAATATTGGGATGCTTGACTCGTCTTAAAATAGATACCTCATTCTGGATCATGTGTTCCTGCCACACAAAAGAAATCTTTAATGACTATGGGTTGGTGGGAGAAACTCTCACCTCCACTGTACAGTGGAAAATGCAGAGACAATTGGGACCGGCATGGATTTTTCAGGGGTTTTTAAAAAGGTAACTGATGTTGCCTCCAGCAATAGGAAAGGAACACATCTAGAAACAACATCAGTGCAATAATTGAAAGAAGAACAGAGAACAGAGGAAGAAAGGGAGGAAAATACATGTTTCTGATGCAAAGAAAAGTTAAGTATGGAAGCTTCTGAAATTTTTTATGCAATACAGAATCTTTCCATTTAAAAATATGATAGCATCTTCTCAGAGAACCTTTTGTTATAGATTTCAAAAGCTAACAGAAATTCACTTAGTATAAAACTGACATCAATTTGATTAACCTTGCACACTGTTTAGACTGGTGTTGTTATAATTATTAGTATTCTTTTTCTGTTTTCTATAACATCTGGGATTACGAAAGATAGAGGATAAAATTACAGGGGTGAAGAGCAAGGGGAGTAAGTGTACCCACGCACAACCAACCAACTGGAGAATCAACACACGCATCTAGAAAGGCACATTGCAGCCTTTATACTGATAGTCCAAGGGTCTCCAGAGGGTAGGCAAAGGTTTCAACCAAAAAGATTCTAACACTTGCCAGGAAGAAGACTAATACCAACAGCTTCCCAAACTGATCTCTCACAAAATGTTTCTTGGAAAAAAATAATCTTTTGCTCGCATATGATTTTGTTTTGTACTTACTTTTCCTCTACATTTACTTTTTTTGATTATTTTCAGAGCATATTCTCTACCAGTTGATCTGAGGAAAGAGAAAAGAAAAAATTGTATGTTCAATCACACTGAATATTTTTCTCAGTTGAGTTTATATTTGTCATTTGAGCACAGTAGGTCTGGGCAAGAATTCTATTCAAGTATTTGTTTGGTCAAGAAATGAAGCTTGGATTTGACAGGAACTGTGAACTTGAGCCAAATTTATTGAATACGTGTGACTGAGAAAAAAGCATTAAGCTTTTTTTTAAAAAAAAATTAAGACATTTCAACGTTTTAAAAAAATCACTTTTTTTTTCATTTTGTAGTGGCATTTGTTATTTCTTCTGCAGTTTTATGTAAAAATATTATATAGTATTTACAGATCCAAATCTCCTCAGAAACAAAAAGTTTTTTTTCCTATTATAAAAAAAATACAAGCTATGGAAAATAATTTTATTTTTTACTTCAGATGAAAAGTCATTTGTTTGCACATCTGCACTCACAACTGCTATGATAAAAAAGTCAGTCCTTGGAATAATGTTTTATGTATTCAGTAGGTATATGGTATTTAGCAGAATTAATTATGGTGTTTGTGGGACAGAATATGAAAGGTGCTGGAGACAGTAAGAAATGATAAAGAATTAGTTTGGGATGAGAACACATTTCATTTTAAGTGTTTTTTTGGAAACCATATACTGTTTATCACTACCACACTTATATAGATATTCATTATCCAGAATAATAACACAGAAAAATAAGTTTGTAGACAAGTTCCATTTCTTGATCAAGTTACAAAACCAAAAGATGGCCGTAAGGATGAAACCAAGAAGCTCTGAAGGTTAAATGGGCAATGGATAATATAAAAAGGTCTTACGAAAACACTTCCATTTTGCAATAAAAAACTAAACAGTTTACAAAAGCCTATTACGTTGCACTTAGGCATATGTTTGGTTAAAAAGTAAAGAAAAAAATAACCTCTCAAGCATATGGGGTGATTTTTTTTATGTTTCGTTTAGAAAAACGTAGTTAACCTGATACATTAAATTGATATATAATAAGTTACACAGAGAGATGAATGTGCCTAAAAGTGTGTACAGCCTGTCAAATAGGACATGCAAAGTGACTCCTAAACTGAAAGTACTGTGTTAGGAAAACAACTGGGCATTTTCATTGCCATACTTAAGCATGGAGAACTCCTCTGGCAATGATGTACCACTAGGTATTAATTTAAGTGAAAATGAGGACTTCAATAAAAAGAGAAAAAAAACCCCAAAATATTAATTCAGTTTGAATTCCCAGGTCAGCAGGGAGCAAAGACAGTCTGTATTAAGACATCAGTTAAAAGTCTATACAAAGAAGTCACACCGCATGATGATGTTTATGACTTGGAAAAAGAAAAAAGCGTCATGGCTGTTCAAGACTTAAACACTTCCTGGATTGAGGTAAAACAGAACTAATTTTCTGTTCAGTAACTTCGCTTCTTAGCTGGGCCTCTTCTAACTACTGAAATTAACAGCGTATTGTGCAGACACTGTTCGCTCTCAGAGTGATAAGACCTATGTTTATAGCTGATGCCCAGGCATGGTACGCAGAGAGGCTCCTGCTTATACTTATTGCTATAACACCCAAGGGCAGCGAACTTTGTTCCTTGCCCCATTGGTGGGTTAGAAGCTGAAAAGTGTAGAGGGGTCCCACCTGTGGGGAGGAGTGGACAGGACAGGTGACCCAAAACTGACCAACAGGGTTTTCCATCCCATCTGCCTCATGCTCAGTATAAAAGCTGAGGGATCAAAGGCTCAGCCCTCTTTCTTCAATGGCCGACATATGAGGAGGACTCTGTCCATCTGCCTTTGACCCCGATCCTGAATCCAGATCTAGAGTCCAGTTCCCATCCGTCACTGAGTCCAGCCTGGGACATCCCCAGTGCCAGCTGGTGACATGATCATCATCCTGGGAGCTTGATATGGTTTTGTATATATTTCATTGTTTTCTTTTCATTTTATCATTAATATTTTCATTAAAGTAGTTTAGTTCCTTCTAGACTTACAAGTCTCTCTCTCTCCTGCCTCTCCTCAGAGATAGGTGGGGGAGAGCATCTATCATTCTGCCTGAGTGGCCAGTCCAGCCCAAACCACGACATTAAAAACTTCTCATATCTATACTCCCCTACCAAAAGGTTTAATGCCACAGCCCCCAGAAATGGGCCACAGCCCACATGATGCGCCCCTTCCCAGTGTTGCTGTTTGGTGGTTAGAGTCCCGGCTCAGTGTGGGGAGAAGCAGAAATAAGGACAGTATTTTTTTGGGAGTAGAGAGAGGAGGTGGCAGAAGGAATATTAGAAATTAAGATATCTGGGGTTCAAACTCAGACAAAATATGCCCTTTTTCAAGAGGAATCTCTTTCAAGCTCCTTGGTTGCCCTAGGAATGCTTCCTTTCTGTCATGAGAAAGGAAATGGGTGGTTTTTGTTGGCCATAGGAGACTCCATGTACTCCAAAACACTGGGAAATCTGAGCTAGTGAGGAAATGTCAGAATTTGGAAGTATCTGAAAGTTAAAAATGAACACATATGAAAACACCACAGGACAAATTACACATACCATGGAGCAGATATGTAACGAGCAGATGACAACTCTGACTGCTTTTTGTTTTGGTAAAAAGAAAATTAAAGCTAAGATAATGCAAATCCTTTCCCCTAAAAAGCTGCAGAACCGCAGGCTGTCAGCAGCGCTGCAACCTCCGTAACTTACACACCCGCCAAAAAATCCGCACAGCCATGCCAGAAACTCAGTGAAACAGGCATATCACCTCTCACCTATCACTCCACCCAAACAATAAAAAGGTGCCACATGAAGTAGGAAACACATTACGGCTGGATAAAAGTCTGGAGCCACCGCTCTACTGCAGGGCAGAGAGTGAGACCTCTAGTTCACAACAGGGCTCTGTGCCACGCTCCTTGGCTGCTCTAACCTTTCACAAAGTTCACAGAGATTTCCACTGCACTGGAGACAAAAATCTATCTTCGTTTTTTTCGTGTGTGCCTTAAATATATTTGTGTGTGTCTGTGTGCACCTTCACAGATGCACAGAATGCAATTCAGAAGTTCCCACCTGAAAATTTGGAAGATCATTTTTGGTTTCTATTTGGGCTGTTCCTTGTCACAGGAAAATGCCTGTGAGTGCATTTGAAGCATGGCTAACCAGTCTGGTCTCCTGGTCTCCACAGCTATGGAGAAGAAGTATCCATGTGATCAGTGAAGATGTGTAACAAGACCCATTCCTACTTGCTTAACACCTCATGGTGCTATTCCTTTGAAGTCTAGCGCACACAGGAATTGTATGTGAGAAGAAAGTAGAAAAGTCCTCTGTCCCGAGTATCACCCCATCAATTCTGGCTCTGCAAATGATGGACATATCAGACTTTGAAGTGAGATGTTTTTTTGCTTAGAAAGATTGTGAAGAATGTTTTTGAAGGGGTTTTACATGTACTGGCTTTAATTTACCCTCTGAGCTTTTAATTTCTCCTTCCACACTTGTGATGGCAAGGGTATCCTGCTTTAGAAGGGGGAAACTAACAGGAATAATCCTACTTTAACTTTCAAGCTCTCCCAAAGTAGTAACTTTCTGATATAAATAGGATCTATGGAATGGTATGGCTCAGAGACCGTAAGAGTATGTATCTGGGAATACCTCAGTAGTCATGCTATTTGAGCACATATCTGCTAGATACATCGTGTTATCGGATACTTCTGGGACCAGCGGGAGAGACATGAGGAGAGGAAACAGTTTTCATTTAATCTCTTGAGGATATTGTAATCAGTATTATTTTAGGTGTGATGGGACCTAGACTTAATTTTGTTCATGTCTTTTCCCTCAGCTTGAGAGGAGTTGTAAAATGCACACTACCACATTTGAACTGGCTCTCAGCAAAAACAGCATTTTCATCTGAGTGACAGTATATCAAAACCTCTTTTTTTTAAATATTGCATTGTAACCCGCTTCTCTCAGTCACTACTCACTTTACTTTTAGCTTGCCTTTTTTTCTTTTCTTAGCTATATGTTTTCACCCATGTTTTTCATCAGTCATGCCCCCTCCATAGGGTTTTACAGTGCTTTCTTATTTTCATATCATTTTGCTTTGCTTCCTTTAGGTTTCCACATTCCCCAGTTTAGTATTCAGACCCTGAGGTTTGATCTGAACAGCTATCGCCCTCCGGATGACCAGCTCCACCATGAACTCACTCTGACAGAGCTCTAAAGGCCTCAGAAGAGCTCTGGTCAAGTCCCACAAGCATACTGTCAGCTGATACAAAATCAACCCTTCGTCCTTTCCCCAGCAGATGTCTTCATGGTCTCCAACTTGCCAGACTCTTTCAGATGCAGAGCGGGACCCATCTTTTTCCAAAGAGACTCCAGTTTAAAACCAGCCAAGCTAATTTATCATCATCTACCACGAGATCTAATCTTGACTTACTCTCTAAAGTTAATATCACATTCTTAAAGGCTAAAGAGGAAAAGTTCTTTCTTTGAGCCCAAAAGTGAAGTTACAGCCTTCTGTAAGAGTGCCCTCTCTAGGATACGGTAACAGTGGATATAAAACTTCACTCACGGAATTTCATTATCAGACCTTGGCATCTCTATTTTTCTTTCTTTTTTACCTTTTCTGCACAGCTACTATCTAACACGAGCAATCTTGCAAATTTCACATACAGGTACCTTCTGTCTTTTTTACCTCGTGTTCTCCTGTTTTTAACAGTACCACCAAAACGCAGCTGTGGTTCCGCTCAGAGCATTTCTGGTTTTGTTCCCTATTTTTTACACTCTTAACGCTGGGTAGAGCCAGTTCAAAACTGGTTCATGATCTACCTGACCAGATTTAGAAACCGACACCTTAGCTTGTCAACCCGGACACTTTCAGCAACTTTTGAGGTGACTTGTGACTTCTCTAACCTGGAGCGGATGTCTAAAATCAGTCTTTAAGGGTAAGTGTTCTCACCCATGAAAGTAAAGGGCATCGAAGAAGTCAGATTTTGACGTCTGAAGTGCAGGCTCCTAAAGTTGGATGGAGCTCACATAATGGCATAAAGCAGGCAAGGAGGAGATAGATGCCCATTTAATTAAAGATAAACATGGAAGAGGTTACTTCTCAGTGTCAGATGGCAGAATAGATGCAACCAAAGTCAACTCTTTGTGCTGACCACCACCGCTGCACCGCACACACAAAACTTCCAGACATCTTTACAGAATGCTCCTCCACATGAAATGGTTCATTGGCCTACTGTAAAGGGAGAGTTGCAAGAATATACTGCAAGAAAAGATGATATCTCAGTGCAACAAGAAAGATTTAACACAAAGATCTGCTAAAATCATGCAGAGTGCAGCAGAAAAAAACCCAAACATATAAAACACACAACGAATTAAATTCATAGATTGTCCTTTGGACTCCTCCTTTTTTCACATAAGAAGGGCATTAGTCTAGTTTTTCCATCTGGCATTGAGACATTACCTTATTACACGTCCTATATCCTACAAACAAAGACATGATCTAGAAAAAGCATGACATTAATGATTAATTTTACAGTAATAAGCGTATTATCCTCCTCACCTTTCTATACACTCCTTCACAATAGCAAAATTTCCATCTCCTATAGTTCTTCCAACTTTATATCGCTCTGCTATCGATGCTGGAACCTGGAAACCTTCCTCCAACACTTCTGAAAGAATCATTAGTACATTTTTATTGTTAGTGAAGGAAACACAGATGTTGCACATAACATGCATTTTAAGTCTATGGTTTAGGAGCCTGGAAACCATTCAGAGTCAGTATCTCACTTACTGTACAGTGAAACCATGCTGCTGACATTGTATATACTCAACAGGTTTCACACAGATACAATAATGAAAAATAAGACTTCTGGGGGCTCAAACATACCACCATTCGAGTGTTACATAGTTTACCATTCCCATTGCGATATGCCCCCAGGACAAAACCAAAATTGTATTTTTTTAATTATGAAAAGGCCTCTGTGATCTGCACAAGCGCAGACCAGTCTCCAGAAAGGGTTGGAACTCCTTGACACAGCATGATTAAATATATGTACCAAAGAAGTCCAACACTCAAGCACTTATTTTATTACATCCTGTAAACTGAGACATCCATAAAACTCCTCATGTGCTAAGTGCTAGTTCTCCCCCTCCCCCAATATTAAATATTTAGTTTTTAAACAAATGTTCTCAATAATACTACCTCGCATGCAACCTGGGCACCAGATGTTTAGGTAAAATTGCATTACACAGTGTCTAAGCATAAGAAAAGTTTGTCGTTTCATGTGTTTTAGTGCTCATTCATGTACCATTATTTTTAAATGTATTTGAAATAGCGTGTTACAAATACCTAACATGCCTCTAAAAGCTGACTGTAAACTGCAGCTGATACAAACTACTATATAAATATTGTAATGTAAAAAAGCCTCGCAAAAACGTGACTTGAATTTACACTCTTAAAGACAGCGCTTTTAACTGTTTCTTCATCTGTCCTTTGTTCCAGTTTAGTATTAAAAGTGAAGGTTATGATAAATGGAGGCTGGTGTTTGCCCAAATTTACAGTCAGCATGAAGAGTTACTGTCAAACAGGAGCATATACATACACTTATGTATACGTGCGTGTGAACTGGCGGTACTGGAGCAGAGACTATCTCTTAGCCAACTCGCTCAAAGCCTTAGCATGGGGCAAGACTAATAATTTCTGAGTAAAGATCCAGGACTGCAATGTGTTCTTTAATACTGTGACAGACGAGACAAAAAATTAGTGAAATAGTCCAGTCAGCCCTGTGTCACCTGCGGAACTAATATCTCGAGTATCCTGCAACAAAAACACCTCTGAATAGGGACGTCCAGATCGAATCTGATCCGGAGTGAATCTAACTGGTTGTCTAAGGCTGATGAGCCTCCTCACGGAGAGTCATCCAGCCCGACACGCTCCCACCTTCTCCGGCAGGAAGAATGACTCATTTCCTACACAGCTGCTGTTATCACTACACGGACTGCTTTGAAATGTCAGCCGTCAAATGTTACCTTCTGCAGGTCCATCATTTTCATCCATAGAGCTGCAAACTTTGGTGGATGCTAATGAGGTAGAGGAGCCACTGTGTTGGGAGCTCTGGAAATGGAGAGACACAAATGAAAACAGATGATTTTTAAGGAGCACCAGTACCCACAGCACAAACACACGTCCCAGAGAGGCTCAGTGTTCCCCGTGTGACGTATCGATCTGCTTTGGTGGAGGGATATGTGGATGCTTGGGAAGAGTTCATTTTTTTCCATTGAAATTACACTTTTGGTACCCCCATGTACATGAAGATATCCCCGATCCATCACGTGCAGCAATGTGCAGCAACGCTTTTATGTATGGTCCATTAGTTTCTCCCTATTCCACACACATTTTGGCAGGGAAAACTGAGGAGCTGTATGCCCTCTGCAGGCAGGAGACTGTTTTCTCAGCGACATCATTAACCCAGCAGGCACTCGAAGCGTGAACGTCTGTTTTGCCTGCAGTTGGCTTTGTTACGGGCAGAATTTCTCACTTTTGCAAACCTCCCTCTGGTGAAATCCTCCCCAGTTGCGTTGTAAAAGGGAGAAATCATTATGGGTGATGTATGGAGAAAATAAAATGCCAGGGTGAATAACATCTGCTTCTTTGGAAAAGCGTTTGATTGGGTATAGCTCACCCGAGGCATGAGTCTGTACCTCGGATTTAAGTACTTGTACAGCAAATGTCTACGTTTGCCTATACAGATAATGAAGGGAGGACGGTATCTCTGTAGTCTCTAGAAGGAGACTTGTAGCCACCCAGCTTGGATGCCAAAAGTATAGCAGGCAGCATCTCGCTGGGAGAGCCTTCCAAAGCACCTACCAACGTCTCTCAGTTACACATGGACTCTAGGCAGGTACTTCAGGAAGACAGCTTCATCACACATCTAGATGGATGAAACTACACAGACATACGAGACGGACTGGATTTCACCCCCAAAATTTTATCCTGTCTGGCGTAATGATTATACAAACATGTCTTCAGGATTCCCCCATCTTCAGAGGAAACCAGAAGCAGCTACAAATGTAACAGTGGCCCTTTAAACTTACAGCAAAACTGAGCATTTCCTCAGGCCTTCATGTTGAAACATTTGTGAGAAGTATTCAGAGGATTTCCAAAACTAAAACTTCCTTAAGTTCACATAGTTCGCATGCTGAAAGGTCACAAAGTGCTGCAGTATTTAATGACCTCCTTCATTTAATGACCTCCTATATATTACATAAATTGCAGGCTGTACTGCACATAACTAACACTCTCAGTTTCTTATCTGTGCAAGGTACCTAGATGCCCACCATCAGGGTGCCAATCCACCTCACAAATTTAATGCATCTTGTTTGGAACGATCTCTCTCCTCTGCCACAGCAGAGCACAGCCAACGACTGGAGCAAGAATAACTAAAGATGCAGCAGTTGGGATTTTTGCAGAGCACGGAGCCAGGGAGAAGGCAGTTGGCAGAGTTAAAACCTGGCCAATATGCCGAGTTTATTTGAACAGACTAACTTTTAATTTCTCCCGCAATAGATTAAGGTCAGATGATTTAGACAAAGGCTGAACTTGGCCTATTTTTCACTAAATAATCCTGAGAGCTTGCACAGCCCATCTACCAAGAGATTCTTTGCTCTTTTTTTTTTTTCTCTTTTAATCAACCCCAGCTCATTCTTTTCATCCATCCAAGCATTACTTCTGAGCTTTGACCAGAATTAAAAATTGCATTAATCAGTTTTTGGACTACTTTTGCTGCCTCTTGACAACAGAAGTGAGCACTGACTGATTTTATGCAGCTCTCTAAGATATCACTGCCCTTGTTTCATGATTAGGATGTGTTTATGTATGTGCTAGTCCTGTGCTAAACTCTGCAGGACATCTCAGTAAAAACTTACCTCTGGTTCTTTTTTGAACAAATGAGCAGATGAGGATCAAGGGAACAGGAAAATGCTAGGAGTTCTCATGCCTGGAGAAGCCACTCTCAAAGTCTATTTTTATACACGTGTAATGAGAGAATTGTTTCCTTTACACTCCTGCTTGTAAAATAAGCAGAAAAACATGTTTTCTCTACTCATTCTGCTGTGTCTGTTTTTTTCCCTAGACCAGCCATCCAATTTCTTACTTCTTTTCCCACTCCACAGCATTTTGTTAAAGGAATTACAATTTATATGTTTAATATTTGTTACATATACAATCAGGAATGAAACTTTACAACATTTAAGGGGTACAACACAAAAAACAGTGTTAGATTTTTGGTAGATTATCAAACAACTACTCTATTCAATGTTTTTTGCATTTTAAATAGAGACATTACGCTTTTCGGCAGATGTTGGGTCAAGCACTGCTGACTGTGCATCGCTGCAGCTTTCTTTAGCAGTCTGATGGTCTCTTTACGGAGTCTCACACTCATCGTTATCCGTGAGAATAGGAGACGTGAAAATCGAGACCTAACTCGGTGGCCGTTTCTTCTCAGAATGGGTGCCTAGAGACACTCAAATTTCTATTTGGGAACCTAATTTCTGAAGGACCCTCAAGCTGAGGTTTAGCTGAGAACTGCAACTGTTCAGTCATTCCAAAATTAGATTCCTTCGAGGGCCCATTTCAGTAAATCACTTCAGCAAGTGCTTCACTTTAAATACAAATAGTCTTAATGGCCTACACACGACTGAAATTAAATTCACTCCTAAATATCTGTTTCAGGCGTAGCTCCCTAAATATGTATTTAGCCTAGGTTTAGTTAAACAAACTGAAAAAAAAAAAAAAGTGACCCATAGAAAACTTAAAGGAATGAAACATCAACATGAGATCAACTTTTTAAGTGCCCTATTTCTATGTAAGGATGGGAAGGCTACGATGATATTCGTAGCTGAGGAAGAACTAAAGTGATGCATTAGTAGCATATAGTGTAGCCCAGTTCTGCGAACAAAGCATACAGCCCCTTCAGCGAGATCTGCGTGCGAAGCACCAGCGTGTGAGCAGAGGCACAGCTCGCCAGTGACAAGGAAGCAGTAGCTAAGGAAACATTTGCTAAAAATACTTATTGGGATTTTGAAAACGTGCGACTTCTTTGAAATTTTTGAACTAGTTGAAAAATATGAAGAACACGCATACTTTTCACTACCTTTGCCTAATCCTTCCTATTAACACAATGGATCAGAAAGAAATCAGGAATTGTACATTTGCATATATTCAGCACGTCGGCTGACGGACCCCCTTCCACAATTAAAGAGACGTTACTAGGTAAACACGACACAAATATTTTCCTCTTTATTCAATCCTCTGGAACAACACGCGGGCCTTTATTTATTTATCTTTACTTCAGCTAGCAGGACATTCCGTTTATTTAGACTTTAATTAGCTCGTTGTTCTCACAAGCTGAAAGCCCTCCGGGTCCAGCAATCCTTGTGGGTCTCGGTGTTCCTTCCAGTTGGCTTGCCAATCGTGAGGCAGTCTGTCGTGCACGCTGTTGCTCTCACAGCTGTGGACCCCATCAGGGATATTGCAGATGGGGAGAGGGAGGGGGGGAAAACAAACTCTAAGCAAGAGTATAATCTCTTCAACACACAGACCTTAATGCAATTAGCTGTTTTAATTTTAAGAGATGCTGAGGTGCTTGAAATGTCATCACTTTTACACAGATTTAAAGGGGTCCAGTCGCACAGGTTGCCAGCACATGGCCATTTTTATGGCACACCTCCATAAAAGCGATGGCATAAAAAAATCAGGTCTTTGGTGTAAGGATTTCAGATCCTATTCAGGTTTATATAACAGATGGCCAGCACACCACACATCTCATTGATGTGAATGGAAACATTAGCGCTATAGAGTTTCATCCGTGTCTCACTGGGAGATTTATTTAGCAACTGTTTTGTAAATAGTTTGTATCTCAGTGGAAATTGCGCTAAATCCATGAAAAAAAAAGCAGTAACATAAATATTACTGTAATTTCTCTCTCCCCATACTCACCTTTGTCCTAAATCAATCTTAAAATCCCACTCCAACTAAACAGTGGGAATTATTCTTGTGGACTACCAGTATCAGCACTTATGAAAAGAAACTTAAACAAATATGAGTAGGAAGTTTGTTAATGCAATTCAGATTCCTGAATCTTAAACCCCAAACACTGCATTATATTTTCCAAACCTCTCAAAACCTTTATTAGCGCATATGGAGTCTACAAAGTCTCTCAACAATAGATTCCTTTGTATTTTCCTAGCATGAAGGAAGCATCTGGATGAAATGTGAGTAACAGAAATGCACACAGGTGTAACGCTAAGTGTGGATCTCATACAGCTTTCTGCTCTTTTAGAAATGGGCTTAATGAAGCAAAGATTAAAATTAGTAAATAAAGTGTAAATTCAGGAAGGAGGCTCAGGAGAAGGGACTTATTAATGTCTTTAAATGATGCCTCCTAAGATCTCCCCTATTCTGAAAAATTCTACACAATTTAAAAAAAAGTAGAGCAAAAGCTGTGTGTGTCAGTAATATGTGTATGACAAAGTTCAACTCAGCGAGGATAAATAGGACTAAAACCAAAACTAAACAGTTAAGCAACCATGCTCACCTCTTTTGGAGCCCATACTAGTGTTCAGTCTGGTTATAAATAACATTTGCAAGGTAGCCATCATGAATTCCTGACATAGCCAATTCCTTAGCCTAAAGATCAACACAGTTAATGGTAAAAGAAAGACAACAGTCCAGTGCACGTATTAGCTCTGAAGGACTTTGAAACGTTCAGCAAATTCCTGTAATACGTTAACAATGTTAAGCAAGAAATAAGTGAGTCAATACAACACAATGGTACATCTTCAGAGAACTGAAGGTAAAGCAGAGGACAGCTGGTTTAAAACAGTAAAATAATATTATTTTGGTGAACCTTTTAGAAGACAAACTCAGCTTTTTATTATTCAATTCAGAGAGCAGCAAAGGGTTACACTGAAACTCCCTCTCCCAACCCTGTCCAGTAAAAAATGTTTTTGATTTTCCTTTGTTTCATCGTTTACATTTTTTGGCCCAGCCAGCCGAGACGGGAAAAAAGTTTTCACGTAAACAGCGCAGAGCTGGCAAAAAATTACTTCGTGGAC